ATTTTTGTTAAAGCATGGTTTAGTGGGGGATTCATCTAGTCCATGGGCTTTACCGTGCATCCTTGTGAAGAAGGCGATGGAGGGTTTTTGTATTGTACAGACTACCCGTAAGGTGAACGAGGTCACAAATTACAGATGCTTACCCTCTTCATCGTCTGGGTGACTAATTGACTTTGTGGGCAAGGCTACTTTTTGTGTCCAAGTTAGATCTCCTTAAAGGCTACTATCAGTACCTTTGACGGATAAGGCGAAGGAAATCTCTGCCTTCGTAATTCCAGGAGGGCATTATCAATACACAGTTACCCCCTTCGGAAATGAAAAATTCCCCCTCTTCAATCCAGAAACTTATCCATCAGGCTATTAAAGGACTTGAAGGCACGGCACGTACCTAATGATATTGTTGTGGGGTCTGATACTTGGATCAACACCTACTTAGACTTAAGGCTCTTTTGAGACCTTTTTAAAAGTTCCCATTTAACAGTTTAATTTATCTAAATCTTCCTTTGGCCAGGCCACTATCACTTTTTTTAGGCCATGAAGTAGGGAGTGGTAAAGTTTGCACCTAAACTTGCTAAAGTTTTTGCTATTAAAGAATCCAGTTCCTCATGATAGGGAAAACTCTTCAATGTTTCCTAGGCATGATAGGATTTTACAGAAGATTCTGTAAGAATTTCTCAATATTGTAGCCCCTCTTACCTCTCTTACCAGTCACAAAGTTCCCTTTTAAATTTGGGCCTCAGACTGTAACACTGCTTTTAATAAAGCAAAAAAGATTATTGTGTACTGCACCCATTCTCTTGTCTCCAGACTTTTCCAAACCTTTTTCATTACAGGTTGATGCTTGTGAGTCTGGTTGGGGCAGTACAATTACAAAACGAGAATGAGGAGTTGCAGCCTGTAGCATCTTTTCAGCCAAGTTCCAGCCACATCAAGGGCTTAAATCTACCATTGAAAAAGAACCCTCGCGCTGGTACTGGCTTTGGAGCATTTCGATGTTTATGTGGGCCAGACATCACAGGTGGCCACAGTCTACAGTGATCACAATCCTCTAGTATATCTCCAAGCCATGAAGAACCACAACACAAGGCTCATGCGCTGGACGCTAAGACTGCAACCATACTCACTCAGAATTAAATATATTGCTGGCAAAGAAAATATGTTGGCAGACTCTTTATCTAGAGTCTAAAATTTTTATTTATTTAGGTTAGGATGTTATTTGTGGTAACCCCTTTTCACACTCTTTTTTTTTTATCCCCTGGTGTGGGGTTTTTTTTTTTAGTGAGGGGTGTGGGCCCACCCTCCGCCTGTATCTTGGGCCTATGCTAGCCTGACTGACTGCTGTCTCACTTTGAGTTTAGGGTTTGGCCTTTTGTCACGAGAAAAGTTGAGCTCTATCTAAGAGTTGGATGGTGGAGACGAAAGGCGGTCCCATTATTTTGTGCCATGGTGGCACGGTTACCACTGGGAGGTGGCAGCCTAATCCTGAGCTTCTCGGGGTGGGGGTGTGGCATGCAAAGAGTACACACCAGTACACACCCTCATTTTTCAGGCTATCTCCCCCATCCAGCGAACCAGGTTGCTAAGAGTTGATGATGGGCCCCGTCGTTCAACTAGTGACCAGGTTCTAGCCAATAAGAAGATGGTTTTGGCAATCGCAAGGTTATGTGGGTACCGCTCTCCTGTCTGCCCTTTCATTCCCATTCTAGAGCTGGTTTGAAGCACGGTCTGCTATCTTTTGGCTTCTATTTCTGCCTTGCTTACCGGGAGTGCACTATACTTAAACACTGTACATAGTGTACATATTGCTGTTCTAAATTGGTGAAGGATAATATAAGTCTAAACTTTTTCTGCTGTGTTTATTTTGCTCCCATTACACCCGGGATAACAGGCCATTTGGAATCCTGGGTTGTAATAGGGTTGCATCCTGGGGGACAAGATTAAGGACCCCAATGGAAATAAGTTAGACAGTCCTCGATGATGCACTGACTTTCTTGGGTTATCCTGGGTGGCTAACCTCTGGGGTTAATTGTTTCTCGGTAATTGTTTCTCGTTAAGCCACACCAACAACACATCTCCACACCTTCGACTAGTACAGCTGAAGGTGGTGCAGCAGCAGCTGACCATGGTACAGCAGCAGCAGTAGCAGCTGACTGTGGTACGATAGTAATTTCGATAGTATTTCTCACCCTTTTTACCACAAGGTTGTCACTACAAGCTTTCTTTGGGCCCATGGTGGCTTATCTAGCAGTTACAAGCACTACAAACAATGGAATAATACAAAATGTATCGAATGTATGCGTGGAACCATCTGCCCTTGCTTGTAAACAATAGCACACTAGCTGACAGCAGGGCAGCTCAGGCTGGATGGACAGGTTCGGGACGAATCTTTTTTTGGGTCTATTTTTTTCATTGTTGGTCGGGCCAAAATTTTTACAATCAAATGCTTCGTTAGTCGAATTTATCATTAGACAATGCCTTTGTTGGTCGGGGGTCCACTGTAATTACATTATACACCTACCATCCGACTTACGACCTGCTGGACATACGACCACTCGACTTACAACCATGTTTTGTATGCCAAATTTCTGGGAAATAAACAACTGTTTGTGATTTACACAGTGTTTATCCTAAACCTTACAGTATAAAACACAGTACTAACAGCATAAAAAGTAATGTAAAAAATGAAATACCAGAATAAAACAATAAAATAAAGCCATTACAAAAATGTGATGTTGATATTCAGTAGTAAGGTTTTACTTAGGTCCATTTTGACTTACGACCAGTTGGTTGGAACCAAGCTCAGTCGTAAGTCGGATGGTAGGTGTACATATATCCTTTATCCTTCCTTAATCCTGCCCCAAATTTTTAATTTAATGACTACCTCTAACCTCTATCAAATAATTATCCTAATGTTTTCTTATTTCACTATATCATGATTTTTTTTTCCCCAGCTAACTTGCACACGAAAATCACTCTCTACGAAAGCAAAAGACTCGGCAGACGATGCAACATCTCCCCAATGAAAAGCAGGGGTGTCACTAGCACATTAAGAGATAACACAATAAGTGTCAAGGGCCCAAGACTGTTCAACTGCCTCCCAGCATACATAAGGGGGAATACCAATAGACCCCTGGCTGTCTTCAAGCAGGCACAGAACAAGCACCTAAAGTCGTTACCTGACCAGCCGGGCTGTGGTCCGTACGTTGGATTGCGTGCAACCAGCAGTAACAGCTTGGTTTATCAGGCCCTGATCCACCATGAGGCCTGGTCACACACCGGGCCGCGGGGGCACTGACCCCCAGAACTCTCTCCAGGTAAACTCCTGGTAATTACTGGCAGTGACTTCCATCGAAGACACTGCGAGACTCCGAGCGGACATCAACCAAATCTTCGAATAGGCCACTCAAGACAATATGAAGTTCAACGAGGAGAAATTTCAACTACTCAGATATGGGAAACTTGAAGAAATAAAAAATGTATCAAGGTATACGACAAATTCTAACCATACAATAGAGCAGAAAAGTAATGTGAAGGACCTGGGAGTGATAAAGTAAGAGAATCTCCCCTTCAAAGACCACAACAATGTGTCTACCTCATCTGCTAGGAATATGAGAGGATGGATAATGAGAACCTTCAAGACTAGGGATGCCAAGCCCATGATGAATCTCTTCAAATCACTTGTGCTCTCTAGGCTGGAATACTGCTGTACACTAACGGCCTGCTTCAAGGCTGGCGACATTGCAAACCTGGAGAGTGTACAAAGAACTTTCACAGCACACGTAAGTACGATAAGGCACCTAAACTACTGGGAACGGTTGAAGGTCCTTGATTTGTATTCCCTCGAATGCAGGCAAAAGTTACATGATAATATACGCTTGGAAGGTCCTGGAGGGATTGGCACCAAACCTGCACACGAAAATCACTCCCTATGAAAGCATAAGACTCGGCAGGAGATGCAACATTCCCCCGATGAAAAGCAGGGGTGCCACGAGTACATTGAGAAACAACACAATAAGTGTCCGAGGCCCCTGACTGTTCAATTGCCTCCCAGCATACATAAGGGGGATTACCAATAGACCCTGGGATGTCTTCAAGAAGGCACTGGACAGGCACCTAAAGTCAGTACCTGACCAATCAGGTTGTGGTTCGTACGTCAGCATGCCTGTGGCCAGCAGTAACACCCTGGTTGATCAGACCCTGATCCACCATGAGGCCTGGTCTCAGACCGGGGTGCAGGGGCGGTGACCCCCAAAACCCTCTTCAGGTAAACTCCAGGTAACTGATTTTGACATACTGCACATAATTACAGTAAATAATAATATCAACTAATGCTTTTTGCTTGCGAGCCATGATCAGATATTATACACAATATTTTTTACCATCTTACATATCAATACCTTGCAATAAACCAGTGAGCTTTAACAGCAACCAAGCATAAATTTTTAAGCATTAAATAATTTAAGCCATAGTTTAAATCTGCCTAAAATGCTATGCACACTATGATCTCCCAAAATCTGTATCACTTGCACATTTTTATGAAAATAAAATTATTTATTATTATTATTTTATTATCACACCGGCCGATTCCCACCAAGGCAGGGTGGCCCGAAAAAGAAAAACTTTCACCATCATTCACTCCATCACTGTCTTGCCAGAAGGGTGCTTTACACTACAGTTTTTAAACTGCAACATTAACACCCCTCCTTCAGAGTGCAGGCACTGTACTTCCCATCTCCAGGACTCAAGTCCGGCCTGCCGGTTTCCCTGAATCCCTTCATAAATGTTACTTTGCTCACACTCCAACAGCACGTCAAGTATTAAAAACCATTTGTCTCCATTCACTCCTACAAAACGCTCAAAGCATGCCTGCTGGGAAATCCAAGCCCCTCGCACACAAAACCTCCCTTTTAACCCACCCCCTCCCCAACCCTTCCTAGCCGACCCCTACCCCGCCTTCCTTATTTATTATCATTACAAATTTTTATTATTATTATTATTACATACCTTGAGGTATGCAGGTGAGGTCTGGAACAATGATGTGCACCACATTGCTGAGCTCCTGGGTCTGGTACGTGGCTGTGGTCCACGCACCAGCAGCAGTTGTCAGCCCTTCCTCGCCACCCTCCTCCCCATCCATTTTTCTGCCACCTGGTAATCCAATAATAATAAAGTATATAACAAAAGCCAATAGAGCAGTTTGTGTACCTTCCCAACCATTTCTGAATGTAATATACTCAAACTTTCTCATTAATAAATAGTCTGGATAAGCATATACCAGTGACCAATACCTTTCAAACTGCAACACACTGTATATCAGTTGTTATATAAAAGAATTACAATATTATTATAATTATGTAAAAAAAAGCTAAGTCCTTAAAAACAAGGCTTGTGAAATGGAGTCCAAACAGCCTTGAGGGTGGGTGGGTCCAATTCCTTAGATCAAGAGCCCCTTACCAGAACTAAAGCACCCTCATCCCCTCCTTGAAGGATATACAGTACAGGGACAACTTAAAACATGATGCAGAAACAAGCCTTACAACATAATGAAAATTCATGTGATCCCCGAGACATTAATATTCTGTGTATATTAATTTTTTGTAGTACAAATTTGAATAAGGGTTCTGAGGGCACAAGATAAATAACTTTATTTCTACAAAGTATAATTTATAACTGTTTTCAGGAACAGACATTACTGACATGCGTACTTTACAGAAAGTCCCCCGGTTATGAATAGCATTTTGGCATTTTTAAAATATTAAACAGTTACTTATGAACACTTATATTACTGGATTTTTTTTTTTTTTGTAAAAAAAAATTTGTTGGAGGCTTTAGTAAAACAATTTGCCATAAATATTTTCAGTAGTTATTACAAATGTTTTGGGTTAAAAAAAAATATGCAAATACAGCACAATTTTAAATTTTCTAATTTCAGTATTACTGCACAAGGCATACAATGGTAACCTGAATACCCAGAGAATACATAGGATCTTGGGCAATAGTTAATCCTGACCTACATTTGCCCTTGGACTCTTTTCTAGGCTCTATCTTATTCTGAATAATTTCCAATTGATTTTATGTTTTTTTTTTTTTTATTAGAACAAAGTACCATCACAAACCAGAGTAGTCTGGAAGGCACTGTACAAGAGCCAGATAATGGGTCTTGCATTTCTGAACTGGAAGGCACTGTGCCTTTCTATAAAGGAACTCATTCTTTTTTTTACTATATGTACTGTAAATTATTAGGTCTCCAACACACATGAATCAATAGATAATTTTAGATACAGTATTTCACAGAAATAACTGTTGAAATGGATTCATTATTACACAATACAACCTTGAAATTATCTGTTTCAATTTACATTTTGAACTAAATCATAGATATTTTTTCAGTTTTCAAAAAATGCAGCAACTGTTTGTTATAGTATAGACAAACAGCAATGGCACATTATATAGATTTATCTGTTAACAATCCAATAAGTCATTCTGACTTATTTTCACTGAGAGTTCTGTTATTAATCCAACAAAAATAAGAATTTTATAATATATTCTTCAAGTTTGAGGGAGCAACAAGTAACTGCTAAAATGATTACACTCCATATCACTCCAACTTAAACATTTATGTGCCCACACAACTATTGTAAAAATTTATTCTTGTCCGTAAAATATCTATATTTTCCTCAGAAAAGCTCACCTTAGTTTAATCTCTTATACCTTAAATTACAATTGGCCCCTGGCCAGGTGGCAAAAGCTCTTGCTTCACACGGTGAGGGTTCGGGTTTGATTCTCTGCAAGGGTATAAACATTGAGCATTTCCTTACACCAGTTGTCTATATTCACGCATCAGTAATAATGGGTACCTGGGTGTTAGTCGACTGGTGTGGGTCACATCCCGGGACAAAACTGACCTAATTTGCCCGAAATGCTTTGCAAAACAAGGGGCTTTCTAAGTAGCAGCATATCATTATTGTCAGCTAGGCCTGTATACTTTGTACATGTACTTGTAGAAATAAAGATATTATTATTATTGTTGACTAAGCTACACTTCTATACATATTTATTTACGTTTCACATTATTGTAATGTCAGTTTTATGAAGCTTCATACCGAAGTTGTAGTACTTTTGTATTATTATTATTATAATCAAAAAGAGTAGTACTTTTGTAACCAGTCATTTCTGAGTTTTATTTGTATGGTTAATAATAAGCAATTATTAAATGAATATCATTTTATTCAGGTGATATATTACATTCATGGGGAGCACAAAACCCAGAAGGATCATAAGCAAGCTTATTTAGGCACAGGTACACATCAATACAATTACACAAATTATCATACATAGTAACATATGTGTAAATTACCTAGGTTAACTCTAACATCCAGAATATCTTACTGTAAAATTCTGTAAAGGCTAGAAAAGAAAGTGAGTATGGTACTAGAATGTAGGGAGCCTACAGTGGTGGCTAGGTCTCCAAAACTTATTACATAGCAATAAATTAATGGTTACCTGATCATATTAATGCCAGTGTTAATATAAAACTATTCTAGAATAGCCAAATAATATCTAATGAATGAAGATGTAGAAATTAACAGTGACTCCTTGTACTATTCAAAAATTCATGAATCGGTTATTGATCTACGTTCATTTGTGTGAATTTATTTATTTATTTATTAACAATTTGAATGACTTTCATTAACATCACTCTAGATACAGAATAGGAATATACCTATTTATGCCTATGCAAAACTAACGCAGTGTTACTTTATAACAAGAACCCTGATGGAGATATTGAGTTATATAATTCTACATGATTTACAATATACTTATCTTAGCTACTGTAAGTATGTATAGGTATATATAAATATAGTTATATAAATTATCATACATGGCAGTACATGTGAAGATTACCTTGGATAACCCAAAAAAAAGTCAGACCAGTGTAAATTTTTTTAAAATGAGTCCTAAACAAAATTTAATAATAATAATAATTAAGTGTTGAAGACTCCAATGCAAATAGGTCACTTTGGCTTTTCTAAGTTAAACTAGGTAATTCATACATGTTACTATATATAATAATTTTACCTATGTGTACCTGTACCTAAATAATTATTATTATAATAAAAAAGAATGTACCTAAATAAACTTATGAAATAACCCTATGGTATATTCTACAGGCCTATGTAAAAAAAGGCTGAGGCTACGTTATTAGCTACTGCTATACTGTGATATATTCATGGATAAGCAGTAAACCAGATTCATATAACTGGCTGCCCATAAATCTTTCTCTAGTCTTCAAATTAAAACAATTTACCATTCATACCCCCATCGTTACAATATTTTGCTACTGTCACAATGAGTTTTAAAGTCTCAAAAACATGGCTAGAAGATTGAAACCAAAGTTTATTTCCACCAGATGTATTATATACATGTAACACTTGATAGTGCATGTAGAAAGTCCATAGTTATGCAGAGCATTTCGGGGCAAGCTTAAGCTTAACTTAATTAAGCTTCTAGTCTATGGACTAGTCGAAAGGTCATTAATGCTGCATGTCACCTGTCCACCAAAATACTTTAATCCCTAAAATAGTGACTAAACTCTGAGAATATACACAGAGAGACACACAGCCGAGGGTATATATACCACTGGGGGGAGGGTACAGTAGTAGGCCTACACTCATCATAGAGGTGAGGGAGGGGGCAGGGGGAGGGGGAGGTCTTCTTCAACAGGTCTGTGACAATTTTGGTGCCTTAATAACACTCCACGAATTTGTACTCGCATTAGCGAATTTCACGACATTGGTTGTACTATATTAATTACATGTTGAGTACGCCTCGACCGTCTATATTCCTTTGTAGACTTGTTACACCTCTGCCATGTGATGCAAAGTAATGGTAGATACTAAACAGGTAAGAAGAGGAGGGAAATATTTAAAAGCGAAAATAATTTCCCTGTTCAGAAGTTCAATATTCGCGACCAGGACAAAGCACAAAGTCTCCATTTCACGAGAATATTTTGTTCGCTATCCATCACAATTTTTCTACCGTAGTGGCCAAATATAAGTATGATCATGTGTCATTTTCTCCTTAAACAATCTATTGAACAACAAAAAATACTCGTATATTACCTCTGAACATTAACATCCATGAACAAGTCCACCGCTTTAGAAAATCACAAGCAAAGCTTTGGCTGTCCCGTCGCCATTTTGAGCCAAAATAAGACCCCTTCAATCTATCACAATTTTCTTCAAATATCTGCCCATTCCTAACGTATTCTACCTTGAAGCATAAGTAAATCATTTTAATAATAGCAGCTACTACAACAGGGTAAGACTTACTTTTCTCAGTAAGTTGAATAAACGAGAAAAAGGTAACTCCTTTAGTCTTTTGGCGAGAACAAATGTTCACTCGACGGTACTGAGGACACACCAGTGACGTCACAACCCGCCACCGTATATCTTCCTTTAATTCCAATTCCTTGCAAAATACCTTATACAGATATTATATTTCTCCCATTAATGCGTTTTAAATCAAGACTATTGGCTTTATAAATTAATTTTTATATATTATCTTAATTTTATTATGAGATACATAGTGGTATATATGAGGATGGATGACCGAAGTCACAGTTGTTTCCGGACGTGTTCAGGGGGGGTTGTGGTTGTCCATCCTGGGAAACTTATATTAAGAATCTGCATATTGAAAATATTGTTCATTTCATATACGAACTGTAATTCTAAGAAAAAGTAATAAAGTAATACAAAAGGTTAGAGCTAATGTAGAGATCCGGTCCTTTAGAGAAATCACGCATTATGTTCATTCGTAAAATATAAGTATGCTCGCTCTATCTATCTATCTATCTATCTATCATATATATATATATATATAATATAAATATATATATATATATAATATATATATATATATATATATATAATAATATATGTAATGTATGTGTATGTTATGTATGTACAGGGAGGTACCACCTCTAGAACTGTCCTGGGGAACCTCATCCTCAGAGAAAGTAATAAACTTTCGTCAGGGAAAACTCAAGGTTCTCCCTGAAGCTGCTTGAAAATTTTCTCCTCCCCCCCCCTATATTTAATATATATTTTATTTAAAGACAAAATACATTGATAAAAATACAATAGAGAGTAAAACAACATAGATAACTCAGAGCTACGTCTTGAATACTTCGTCCAGCTAAACAAACTATACCATGGGCGGGGATAGAACCCACGATCAGAGTCTCAAAACTAACGCAACGGTCTGGAGTTTTGAGACTGATTGCGGGTTCTATCCCCGCCCGTGGTATGGTTCGTCCAGCTCCTCGGCGGTGGGCCACGTGCCCAGAATGATGCAGGCATTTCCCCTCTGGATTGCAACACTGAATCTCTGAAAGAGGAAGCTGGCCACCCTGTGGTCCTTGGGTACTATGACGAGTTTTTCACCCAACTCTTCGAGGAACTTTAGGATTATGTGGATTAAAATAAAGGTTGGATGTGAAAAATGGGTCATAATAAGTGTGTATGCACCTGGAAAAGAGAGGAGTGTAGAGGAGAGAGAGAGAGAGATTTTGGGGGATGTTAAGCGAGTGTGTAGGAACTTTTGAACCAAGTGAGAGAGTAATTGTGGTAGGGGACCTCAATGTTAAAATAGGAGAAACATTTAGAGAGGGTGTGGTAGGTAATTTTGGGGTGCCAGTTGTAAATGATAATGGGAGCCCTTTGACTGAACTTTGTATAGAAAGGTGTTTGGTTATAATACATATTTTAGGAAAAAGGAGATAAATAAGTATACAAGATATGATGCAGGGTGTAATGACAGTAGTTTGTTGGACTACATATTGGTAGATAAAAGACTGTTGAGTAGACTTCAGGATGTACATGTTTATAGAGGGGCCAGAGATATATCAGATCACTTTTTAGCTGTAGCTACAGTGAGAGTAAAGAGTAGATGGGATACAAGGAAAATAGAAGCAGCAAGTAAGAGAGAAGTGAAGGTTTATAAACTAAAGGAAGAGGCAGTTAGGGTAATATGTAAACAACTATTGGAGGACAGATGGGCTAGTTAGAGTACATGTATAGGCAATGGGGTTGAAGATGTATGGGGTAGGTTTAAGTTAAGTTAGAGTGCTCCATGGCCTGGTGGCAAAAGCTCTCGTTTCACATGGTGAGAGTCCGGGTTTGATTCCCGGTGAAGGGGTGGAAACATCGGATGTGTTTCCTTACACCGGTTGTCTACGTTCACCCATCAGTAAAATAAGTACCTGGGTGTTAGTCTACTAGTGTGGGTCACATCCTGGGACAAAACTGACCTAATTTGCCCGAAATGCTCTGCATAACAAGCTGCTTTCTATATAGTAGTATGTCATTGATGTCAGCTAGGACTGTATACCTTGTACATGTACTTGTAGTAAATATAAAAAAAGAAAAGAAAAAGATAGTATATGAATGATGTCATTAGGTCTATGACAGTTGTACTTCTAGAAATAAAGATTTTATTAATTTTAGTATATTATTGTACAGTAATAGGTACCTACTTTGCTTTTTGACCAGAGATTAAACCTGCAACTTTGCAATGTGTCAGCCTCTGCTGGAAGACTTTGTAGGGTGATAAATATAATGTCAAGTATTCCTGTGTTCATTACTTACCAACTCTATTATTACATTAAGAAACAAGTGCCAAACCCACATGAGCCCCACAGTATAAGTTTTAAAAAAAAATTTCTTCCTGCTGGGCTGGGATTATTCCTACACATCAACTGCCATTTTAAACGGTACATTACAGATTTAGCTAAAAGGATGAGGACTTTGTTAAACTAATGCCCATCCAAGGAAAAGGTGGAGCAATATATTTATGGAGCAACATTTAACTCATAGGGGGTTTAGAGTGTCTTAGTAATAAGAGTTAAATAAAGTTTAATCCTTGGATTGAAAGACCTTATCTAGCATCAAGAAACACCCTTGAAAGATGGAAGGCCAGATAATTATTATACTAAAACAAGACATACTAAACCTGTGTATGGAGGGCAAAGTTAAGCTTATTTAACCAAATAGGGTTCTTAAACACAACCCAACAAAGCTAAATAATATTGCTTAGTTCCACAAATACCTCAGTAACTATATCTATTGCAAAGTGAACAGGAGCAGCGAGTAATAAAAAACTTGCCCATAAATATCCCCTACTTTAAAATCAAAGTTTATTTTGGTACAGGTAAACATTAAGTACAATTATCTCACAAAGCTTAAAGTACGTGTTACGTAGCTCGATCACTAGCGCACTCAGCTCACACACTGAGGTCCAGGGTTTGAATCCCTAGTTTTTTTTTTTTTTTTCAACAAGTCGGCCGTCTCCCACCGAGGCAGGGTGACCCAAAAAAGAAAGAAAATCCCCAAAAAGAAAATACTTTCATCATCATTCAACACTTTCACCACACTCACACATTATCACTGCTTTTGCAGAGGTGCTCAGAATACAACAGCTTAGAAGCATATACGTATAAAGATACACAACATATCCCTCCAAACTGCCAATATCCCTATGGCTGGAAAACATTAGGATGTGTTTCCATAAGACACCTGCCGTCCCTGTTCACCCATCAGTAAAATGGGTACCGGGGTGTTAGTTAACTGGTGTGGGTCACATCCTGGGACAAAGTGACTTAATTTGCCCGAAATGCTCTGCATAAGAAGGGGCTTTTCATATAGTAGTATGTGACTGATGTCAACTAGGCCTGTATACCATGTAGGTGTATTTGTAGAAAATTTTTATTATATTACATGTAAATTACCTACAATAACCTTGGGGAATGAGAGACCATATTTAGGCTAGATGCAAGGAATTAGACTTGACCAATGAAGAGAATAACTCAAATTTCATGGATCAAATGCTCCATGGCCTGGCTGGCAAAGCTCTCACTTCACAAGTGGAGGGCCCGGGTTTGAATCCCCGCAGGGTGGAAATATTTTGACGCGTTTTCTTACACCTGTTGTCCTGCTCACCTAGCAGCAAATAAGTACCTGGGTGTTAGTCAACTGATTGAGGACCCCAATGGAAATAAGACAGACAGTCCTCGATGATGCACTGCCTTTCTTGGGTTATCCTGGGTGGCTAACCCTCCGGGGTTAAAAATCCGAACAAAATTTTATCTTATCTTCATCATCTAGGTAAACCCACCCTCTCGAAGTGTCTACCATTTCAAAAAGTGGCTCTTCTTTATCTAGACGATACAGTTCAGAGGGTAGATTACTTCACAAATCGAACTGGCAGAGTATAAGCCTAGGATATGTCTAGCAGCAACAACCATTCAAAGAATATCAATCTTATTTCATAACCATACTTATATTTGGATTAGTGTATCTGAAAACAAGCACTAGATTTTGGGTCATACACTGCTGATATTGTATCACCATCAATCATGACATTTAATTAAAGAGCATTTAAAGTACCCCCTTCAAAATAGTTCTGACCTTAAGGCTATTGGGAAGCCTTAAGGTCAGAACTATTTTGCCCATTTTATGATCATCCACTACACACTAGGCTGAAAGGAACTTTGTCTTTGTTTGAATTTGAAATTGGCATATTGTACACAGTACAAAGGAATCAAGCAGAGAATTTCTTCCAAGTGATCACAAGGTGTATGAGAATAACATGCAAGGGACACATTTTGCTGAGAAAGAAGCTTGAAGAAATTACAGAATTCTGGTATCAAAAGATAATTCATCATACCATGCAGTTAAAAAATATTTACTACTGCCATTCACAATAATACTGCATTTACAAAAAGTACCAGCCACTCACAATCATAATACAGTGGACCCCCAGTTTTCGTCCAGAGTAGAAATTGTACAATTTATATTTTGAGCACTTTTTTTGGGTGAAATTTTTCCCCAGGTTTCATACATCCACTCAGAAATCATCCGTATCATACGCGTCCACCCTCCCGGGACACCGCTTCTGTATACCAGATTCAGTCTGCCTCCGTCTCTCCTTGAGTTAGCAATACTCCGCTCGTTCATCCATTGTTTTTTGTGCTTGTTTATTGATTGCAACTGTGAAATAAGCTCCATGGGGCCAAAGGAAGTTCCATCCTGGCAAAGAAAGCAGAAATCAAGGAAGCTGATGTTGCTAACGAACCAGAGATCACAAACAATCGAGGATGTGGAGTTGTTGTTGTTGGTGTGGATCAATGAAAAACAGTTAGTGGGAGATAGTGTTGTGGAGGGCTTTGATACCTGAAGTCCTTATGGAGGGGGATTCCCCTTCCAAACAATAACCTCTCCTCTCTCCCCCCTCCTCGCCTTCTTCCATATGCCAGCAAGAGTCTTCAATAAAGGTATGTAATAGTGATTTAAATGTTCATTTATTCATTAAAATTAGTGCTTTATGTTTGTTTCTCATTATTTTCTGTATGTAAAATTATAGTTATTCTCTATAAAATGTATTTTTTATTAATATTTTTGAGTGTCTGGAACGGATTAATTGGATTTACATTATTTCTTACGGGAAATATTACTACAGTTTTCGTCCATTTCGGATTTTGACCAACCTTCTGAAATGGATTAAGGATGTGCATTTATCATTCATGAGCACTTGCTAAAAATTTCATTTTAGTTTAAAATGCCCTAGTTTAATTAAAAAGATTAAAAAGCCCATTGGAGTTAATATTGGAATAAAGTTCACCAAAATCCAAGCAGGTGCCTGCAATTTAAAAGATAAAATAATTTGGAAAAAATCAAAATACAGGCACAGTAAAAAAAAAATATGTAGCACACAAAGAGCTGCAGAGGTAAATGCTGGACGACTCATACTAGTTCAGCACGTCTTTAATAAACTAATACACGAGGGGTCAGAATCACCTGGAAGGTTATCATGGTTATGTTTAATCCACAAATTACAATTAAAAACAAAATGGAAAGTCAAACCACTCCCTACAAAGTATTTAGGTTATTGCTTGCCTGAAGGGCACATTAGGTCCACTTCTGCAGGACTTATAGATGTATCTATGGCCTCTGAAATTAAGCAGCAGTTTGTTATAGAGCGCCCTTTTTATAATTATCTAGGACTCCAGCATGTCAGAAGCATCAACAAAACAGACTAAATAACCAAAATACAGATCTATGCCATAACCAAAAATAACCTTCCTGTTAACTCTGATTTTTATGTATTCTGTATACAGTAAATGTTTTAAGAACACTTTAATTAGAGGCAAGCACTAAACCCATAGGGGTCATATAATGCCTGAGGAATGGTTGGCAACTGAAGTTCAATCCAAGGAAAAGAGCCCCCCCTTGCCAGTATAATGGCACCTTCACAGTATATGAGTTTCCAGTAATACTAGGTAATTATTATTACAATAAGAATTAAGCACTAAACCCACAAGGGTCATACAGCACTGCAGGTTAAGATGTGCTGAAGATGTAATGTGCTAGATCAGAGACTGGCAAAGGTGAAGAGTATGCCAGAGACAGAATCAGTAAGGGTCGTGGAGAGTGCTAAAGTGAAAGTAAAATTGAAGTCGGTGTAGTAAAACTGTACTGACAAAAAATCAAGGAGGGAGTCTGTGTCAAAGGCAGAACTAGGTCTAAAATAAATTGGAATATGTATAAAATTGTCAACACCAAATCTTTTTTATTTACATTAAAATTGTACAATATGGAATTTATAGAGAAGTAAATAAGCTTCTTGTTTCCTGAATATGTAGGCTATTTGAGAGCAATTCTTTTAAAGAACTGAAACTGATGAATTGTATATTTCTTTTAATAAAGTATAGCCCATTCTACAACTTGCCATGTGTAAAATACACAATGGACATTATAAAATTACCATTTGCTCTTAAGAAATCAGTCAAAATAAAATTATAACTTGATACAGGCTATTGGGTGACCATGCTTATAAAACAGAGTATGGATATCTTCATTTTCCAAGAAAAAATGGATTTCATGTGGTATTATTCACATTTGGTGAACATTTTTATTGACATGAAATGTTTGACATTTACACCATATTCAGTTTCTCTCTTTTTTTTCCTACTTTTTCCCCCTTGAAGAAAGTGACGTATAAATACAGTACAATATTAGAGAGCTTATCCTGATTCAGCAGCCTTAACCAATTCTTCTGCTACTTCAACTTTAATCAATGCCTCAGCTTTAGCCTCTTCACTTGTTGCAGCATTTGCCTCAGAATGTGCCTTGGAGAGAATATCTCGTGCTGCGCCAAGGTCAAGTTCCTCAACTCCAGCAGCTTCTTCAGCAAGAATTTGAACTGCAGTAAAAATATAATAAATAATTATCTATAGTATTTTGTTTTCATCAGCATGCACTAAATGTAAAGGAGTTGTAAAATGCCTTAGGAATAGGAATCATATAATGCCTGGGGAACAGGAGGCACTCAGGTTCAATCCAAGGAAAGGGAGGACAAGTCCAGTTCCTTTGATCATGATCCCCTTATTGGTATCAAGGCACCTTCCTTGAGGGATTCATGCATGTAGCATTTAAATTTTTTTCATAAAACCATATACAGTACACTATATAAAACATTTAAAAAAAAAATTCTTAAATATTATATAAATGTATTACATACTTCAAATTCTCAGTTCACTGTAAATCAAAAATAATACAACTCCTTGAGCATTTTAAGAGTGAATAGGTATCATAAAACAATTACTGCACTGTGCTATGACACAAACCTGAAGAATCTTCATTGATTGTTACAATGCCAGAGCTGACAAAATATTTTTTAGCAGCTCCATCAGCCTCTAAAACTGTTAGAACACCAGGTTTCAATACTGCTAGAGATGGGACATGTTTTGGCAAGATACCAAAACTCCCAGAAAATGATGGCACATCAACTTGCCTCACATCTGCTCCATTGTAAAACACCTGTAAAGAGACAAGAAATGAAAACTTCCTCTAAAGTTTTACTGGTACATATATATAAAATAACTACTTATCATAATTAATACAGTAACTGTAATATGTTAATAATTGTGTTAGTTTTCAGCCATCAGTTATAATACAGCTGCATACAGATCAGCACAGTATGTATATTCAAGCAGAATACAGTGGATTACTACTGTACTACAGTATGTATTTTTGGAATTCAAGGTATCTTTCACTACGAATTTACTGCCACTATTTTTATCTGAAGCACTAAATAAAAATACTGTATGATTAATTACAAATGCTCACCTGATTTTGTGATGCAAATGTAAAGGCCATTGGGCCATCAGAATAAGATCTAGTGCCCACAAGAGAGACACGACGAACCAAGGTAGAGGCTGCACGGGAGAACATCCTGAGGACAAAAGGAGCTGTTCATTTGTGCCAGAAATACATGAGCACAAGTATTATAATCAAAACTAAGCGCTGAATCCACAAGTAGACCAAAGGTTGCACTCAAGAAAAAAAAAATAACAACAGACTTGTGTATACCTAGCATTGGTTTCAAAATTTTAGAGGGCAGTATACACTCAAGTAAGAAAACAGAAAATTTTAGTTACCCATCAAGATTAAGGGGATCTTATTCAGTTGATACTATACTTAGTTATTGTATCTGATGAACAATATTATGCCCTAACTATTACCTATAAAATGTTAAATACCTATAAAAGGTATTTAACATTGAGTCACAAAATATGTAAAAAATAAAAAAAAACTATCAGCAGGGTATCCACAGACTCTTCAAGTCTTACCTAAACAGTTAACAAACTGCTTAATTAATACCATATAAAAATCCTACAGATAAATGGAAAATGCCTTAAAGAAAAAATAAATTAAAAATAAAAGTAATTTTAAGTACAAAATGGTCCAAGTTTTGCTTGAGATGCTATGCATTCTATGGGGCTTCAGATTTTATGTCCTGTGCAGTAATGTTGAAATATAGATTAGTATTTGTATTTAAACAAGTGTAATTACCATTACAAAGGTTACTGCAAATTGTTTTATAAATAAAAAAAAATTATAAGTCATAAACGAAAGTTTTTTCTGAGTTCAAGTCAAAGCCTCAACCTTAAAATGTTTCAAGCTAAATTCCTTATATTTTACTACCATATATGAAACTATTGTAAAATATTAAAATTATGCCAAAATTGTAATTACACATTGTAACCTTTGCAAAGAAATAAAATCTTGATGCAAGTCTGGGAATGGAAATACGAGGGCATCACTTTACTTATTATATTTATGGGAGGATATTAAACTTAAGGTCATCCAGGACCTGGAGAAAGGTGGTGCATTCAGATTTGATCTAAGAGGAGAGTATGGTAGTTTCAACTCCTTGGATCAAGATCCCCTCACCATCATCATTATTATAACCTACATTATTATTATAAACCTACTTCATTCAGTTTGGTAACAAAGCTACAGATGTCCCTCTTAACATAATGATAAACGGATCACCTATCACAAAGCTAACAGAGGGAAAATTCTTAGGAATCCACCTTGATAATAGACTCAAATTTCTTACACATATACAACAAATTTCTAAGAAAATTTCCAAGACCGTAGGCATACTATCAAAGATACGGTGCTATGTTCCACAGTCAGCCCTCCTGGCCCTATATCACTTATTTACCCCTATCTCACCTATGGAATTTGTGCATGGGGCTCAACAACAATTAACCATCTCAGACCACTAATTACCCAACAAAAGGCTGCAGTCAGAATGATAACAAATTCCCACTACAGGCAGCACACTCCACCAATATTCAAAACACTAAACCTACTCACCATACAAAACATCCAAACTTATTACTGCACCTACTACATACATAGAACACTTAACTCTGATATAAACCCTCCCCTCAAACATCTCCTTGCCAACCTCAACAGAACACATGACCATAACACAAGGCACAGATCACTCTTTGATGTTCCTTGTGTCCATCTCACGCTATTACCTGGAGTTTCCCTGGAGATCAGAGCCTGATCAACCAGGCTGTTGCTGCTGGCTGCACGCAAACCAACATACGAGCCACAGCCCGGCTGGTCAGGAACCGACTTTAGGTGCTTGTCCAGTGCCAGCTTGAAGACTGCCAGGGGTCTGTTGGTAATCCCCCTTATGTATGCTGGGAGGCAGTTGAACAGTCTCGAGCCCCTGACACTTATTGTATGGTCTCTTAACGTGCTAGTGACACCCCTGCTTTTCATTGGGGGGATGCAAAAACTCAATGCACATAAAAGGCCCTAAAATCTGGAATTCATTACTTGTAAATATAAAAGAAACACTACCTGTTTATAAATTCAAGTCTCTTCTCAAAGATCACTTACTCACCCAAAACCAAATAAATACTGAATAACTGAACCTTATAAATTGTATATCTTAAATGTTTCTCACAAATATATTGCATAAATGTTAAACCTAAGACCCAATCTAACTTTGTTATTTTTTAAATACACTACTTAACAGAATACTTCATTCTACTGAATGTACAGCAATGCATGCAACCATATGACCTGTCTTTGTAATACTCATTTGTGCTTTATTGTTATCTGTTTACAATAATGTTTTATCACTGATTACATCTTTACCTGGAGTTTACCTGGAGAGAGTTCCGGGGGTCAACGCCCCCGCGGCCCGGTCTGTGACCAGGCCTCCTGGTGGATCAGAGCCTGATCAACCAGGCTGTTGCTGCTGGCTGCACGCAAACCAACGTACGAGCCACAGCCCGGCTGATCCGGAACTGACTTTAGGTGCCTGTCCAGTGCCAGCTTGAAGACTGCCAGGGGTCTGTTGGTAATCCCCCTTATGTGTGCTGGGAGGCAGTTGAACAGTCTCGGGCCCCTGACACTTATTGTATGGTCTCTTAACGTGCTAGTGACACCCCTGCTTTTCATTGGGGGGATGGTGCATCGTCTGCCAAGTCTTTTGCTTTCGTAGCGAGTGATTTTCGTGTGCAAGTTCGGTACTAGTCCCTCTAGGATTTTCCAGGTGTATATAATCATGTATCTCTCCCTCCTGCATTCCAGGGAATACAGGTTTAGGAACCTCAAGCGCTCCCAATAATTGAGGTGTTTTATCTCCGTTATGCGCGCCGTGAAAGTTCTCTGTGCTTAGTTAATCTTAAGTAAATTTTAAGCCAGCCCGTAATGCTATGCATATAAGTGGCTTTGGCATGCTGCTCTTACCTATATTTTTTTTGTACCTCTGTTTGTATGCTCAAATAATCCTGGGGTAGTGCTACACCCATATGCAATATACAGCACTTGTGGGGGAGGGATGGAAGGTACTCAGGCTTAATTCAGGGAAATGGAGCAATGATACAATTCCTTAGGGGTCATCATCATAAGCCAATACACTATTATTCTCGAGGAAGCACTAAACCTGTAGGGGTCAAACAGTGCTAGTAAATAAACCTAGTCGAGTCTTGGAAAAAAAATTCCAATAAAAAAACCTGAAAAAGACCCACTGTAAATGTGGTCTTCAATACCACAGGGCCTTGACCATGGTTTAAATTTTTTCCAATTTGTGACACAAAACAGAGGTACAAAAAAATACAGATAAGAGCAGTATGCCAAAGCCACTTATTTCTATGCATAGCATTACGGGCTGGCTTAAAAATTAAAATTAAGATTAACTAAGCAATGATTATTATTATTATTATAATCAAAAAGAAGCGCTGAGCCACAAGGACTATACAGCCTGCTACAAGCAATGATGAAATCAGTGATAAAACATTAATGTAAACAGATAACTATAAAGCACAAGTGAGTATTACAAAGACAGGTCATAGGTTTTCATTCAGTTAGGTAGTGATTCTGTAGGTAGTGTATTTAAAAAATAATAAAGTTAGATTGGGTTTTAGGTTTAACATTTATGTGATATAATGTGAGAAACATTTAAAATATACAATTTATAATGTTCAGTTATTCAGTATTTATTTGGTTTGGGTGAGTAAGTAATCTTTGAGAAGAGACTTGAATTTATAAACAGGTTGTGTTTCTTTATATTTACAGGTAATGAATTCCAGATTTTAGGGCCTTTTATGTGCATTGAGTTTTTTTGCATAGTGTGGAGATGGACACGAGGAACATCAAAGAGTGATCTGTGCCTTGTGTTATGGTCATGTGTTTCTGTTGAGGTTGGCAAGGAATGTTTGAGGGGAGGGTTAATATCAGAGTTAAGTGTTCTATGTATGTAATAGGTGCAGTAATAAGTATGGATGTTTTGTATGGTGAGTAGGTTTTGTGTATTGAAATATTGGTGGAGTGTGCTAGCCTGTTGAGTGAGAATTTGTTATCATTCTAACTGCAGCCTTTTGTTGGGTAATTAGTGGTCTGAGATGGTTAATTGTTGTTGAGCCCCATGCACAAATTCCATAGGTGAGATAGGGGTAAATAAGAGAGTGATATAGGGCCAGGAGGGCTGACTGTGGAACATAGTACCGTATCTTCGATAGTATGCCTACAGTCTTGAAATTTTCTTAGAAATTATGATGTATATGTGTGTATGAAATTTGAGTCTATTATCAAGGTGGATTCCTAAGAATTTTCCCTCTGTTTAGTTTTGTGATAGGTGATCCATTTTATCATTATGTATAAGAGGGACATCTGTAGCTCTGTTACCAAACTGAATGAAGTAGGTTTTGTCAATGTTTAGTGTAAGTTTGTTAGTCCTCATCCAGGTAGATATTTTCTGTAATTCGGTATTTACAGTATTGGCTAGCGTGACTGGGCTCGGGTGAGAGAAGACGTTATGTAGTGTCATCTGCAAATAGTGTGGGTTTGAGTAATGCGAAGCATTTGGAAGGTCATTATGTATAGGAGAAAGAGAAGAGGGCCAAGGACACTTCCCTGTGGACACCAACTGTAATTGGTTGTGCAGAAGAGTTTGCCCCATTGCGTACACATATTGGCTTCTGTTGCTGAGGTAAGACTTGAGGTAGTTGAGGGAGTGCCCTCTTATACCATAGTGTGACAATTTTACGTGGAGCAAGTCATGGTCAACTGTATCAAAAGCTTTACGTAAGTCAATGAAGATCCCCAGTGGGACTTCTTTTTTCTCTATTGCAGTGTATATATGTTCTAGCATGTGTATAATAGCATCATTAGTATTTTTATTAGGCCTGAATCCAAATTGGCAGGGGTTGAGTATGTTTTGGGAGATAAGGTAGGAGTAGATTCGTTTATGAATTAATTTTCGAAGATTTTGAGAGAGGGTGTAAGTTGGATATTGGCCTATAGTTATTCAACTCTGTTTGGTCTCTCCTTTGTGGATCGGGGTGACCTTGCTATTTTGAGTACTGTAGGGAAGGTGGAGGATTCAATGGATTTGTTAAAGAGTGTTGCAATGATTGGTGATAGCACTTGTGACACTTTTTTGTATATAAGGGGTGGTAAGGTATTTAAATCTCCTGCCTTGTTTTTTAGTGCGTTGATAATAGGAGACTTCGTATGGGTTAGTCGGAGCTAGGAACAGTGTGTTCGGTAGTTGCCGGTGAGGTAGTCATTTGGTGGGGTATCTGAGCTTGGGATTTTATTGGCAAGGTTTTGTCCTATAGTGGAGAAGAAAATCATTGAGTCTGTTTGCTGTTTCTGTTGGTGGGAGTTGGGGTTCATCTGTTTTTGCTAATTTTATTTCGCTATTTCGTGATATCTTTTTTGTTCCCAGAAATTTCTGATAGGGTTTTCCAGGTCTTTTTTATATCACCTCGTAAGTTGGATAATCTGTTCTCATAATACAATTTTTTGCCCTTCTTATCAGGCTGGTTAGGATTGACGAGTAACGTTTTGTTTGGTCTCTGGTTATGTGACCCATTCTGTACTGTTTTTCATATTGGTGTTTTGTATTTATGGATTTGAGAATGCTGGGTGTTAGCCAGGGACTGTTCAGTCTCTTTGCTGTCATCTGTTTAGTTTTTTTAGGGCAGTGCTTGTTATAGAGGTATTGGGTTTTTTTTTAGAAAATTATTAATACATTAGTCAATATCTGTATAGGTTTCTAGCTCAGTGTGCCAATCAATGTTTGCTATTGCTGTTGTGAAGTTATTAATGGCTGCCTCATTGTGAAGTCTGAAGGTGACTTTAGTAGTGTCTTGGGGTAGTTTACCAAGAGTTGTTATGAGGAAAGTAGGGTAGTGGTCTGTGGTATTATCTGTAATTATGCCTGATTTTAAAGGGGATATGGTGTTGGTCCAGATGTGGTCAAGTAGGGAAAACACTAGTCTCTGTAACTCTTGTAGGTTTTGTTACTGTTGGTAGTAACATACAGTTACTCATTGTGTTTGTGAATTCAGTAACGTGTGGGTCCTGGTCTTGCAGGAGATTTATATTGAAGTCACCTGAGAGTAGTAAGTGATCTTTGTTCATGCGTGCATCAGTTATCATACTTCCTAGATTTTGACTAAATTGGCTAATGTTTGACTGTGGAACTCTGTAGATGTTTATCAATGTGAGAGGTTTTTGTAGGTACTTTGATTTGAATTTAGCTATTATATATTCCCCATGTTCATCCCTTGTGCAAGTATTAGTGATACATTCTAGTTGGTCTGAGTAGTATATGGCTGTGCCACCCCCTTGTTGATCTGGCCTACAGTTGTGTATGGCTGTGTAACCAGGAATGGCAAAGACATCTGTACTATCAGGCTTTAGCCAGGTTTCAGTTAGTGTAATGATGGACATATTGGCATGTAAGGAATTTAGTAATGCTATGAGGTCATCGTAATGCTTGCTTAAAGATCTGATATGTAGTTAAATATAGTTATGTTGTTGTTGGCACTGAGAAGTGCCTTTGATTGTTCTGCAGTGTAGTAATTACAGTTACTGTTTGATTCATTTAAGTCATTAAATAAGAGGTTGGTATCAGGATCAATGCTTGTAATCATAAGATTTGTAGTGAATCTATAGTTTGATTAAGTATAAAACAAAGTAAATAGTCTTAAGCTAAAAAAATAGCACCTGGATTATTTAACAAATGTAAAATAATGAGCTAAGGGACTAATACAAATAAAGTGATGATCAAATAGTGGAGCTTGGGAATATGATAGTAGGTAGTACTATAAAGGTAATTTTTTAAAGTTGAAATTATAGTATAAAATTATAATATAAAAGGGACTAATATAGGTTGTGGTGACCAATAAAGTGGTAATCAAAAAAATGAGCTTTGGAATATAATGGCAAAATTGTGAACTTATTCTACTTTAGCACCTAAGAATAGCACCTTGATTATTTTAACAATTGTGAATATATAAACTAGGATAGTTATATAAAGCTAAATAAGGAGAAAACATATAAGGGACTAAAATTAAGTATGGTAAGCAAAGTTAAATGGGCAGATGGTAGGAATTATAATATAAACTTATAATATAAAAATACAATTTGAAATGGTACTTGCAATTGCACTAGAGTCTGGTATAGGTTGTTGACAAGATCAAGATTATACCTAGATTTAAATTGACAAAATAAAATTCACAATTAAAAGTACCAAAAGAATAATAGTAAAAAAATAACAATGGTAATGTCTTGATTATAATATGATAGTAAGAGGGTAGACAGGTACACAGGTACAAGGGATAATATAAAGGTTGGGGGTTGAATATAAAAACTTGAAAATTTGGCTACAAAATGTTATGAGAAGTATAAAATAATGTTTAATGTACAAAATTAAAATTGACTGGTAGTAAATATGGTGTTTAATAAAATTTTAGTAAGTAATAATGAATGTTTCTAGGATTACATGACGGGCTTTTATTAAAGAATTGGGCATGTGTTCCCCTTCCTTGGATTTAACTCCCCTTTCTGTGTGCTATATCCCTGTAGGTTTAGCGTTCTCCAGGAATATATAATAATACACAACAAAAATACAGAAACCGGCTCAGTCAGCTGATTATATGCAGACGATATTATCCAGTATAACACCAGCAAAAAATATACTTTAGCCACAATGTACGGTTAATTAGCCTGTCAGAGCTGTAACTCATATTAAGACATGTTAACCCTGTTAACACAGGCTACAATAAACCCACATTACCTAACAAGTTTGGTGTGGAGAGTGTAGTGGTGTGGTTGTGTGGACGGGCTGGAGGTGGCACCACTTAACACTCTCACCCGCCACTTATAAACTGCAGCAGCAGCAGCTCAGTTGTAATGAATTTTTACAAACATTGCTTAAACTGTTGTAGAATAGTTTTCTGGGCATACAGATATTATGTATGTGCGCATACACATACGATAAAGTTCATGGAGCAGGGAGAGAGTGAACCTAGTATTGACCAGCTATGAGGAGAGGCCAGGAGCTGTGAATCGACCCATGCAACCACAAATAGGTAAGTACACACACACACACACACACACACACACACACACACACACACACACACACACACACACACACAGATGATGTGAAGTTAATGAGGAGTATTAAAACAGATGCGGACCAGACAGGTCTACAAAGAGATCTGGACAGGCTGGACACCTGGTCCAGCAACTGGCTTCTCGAATTTAACCCCGCTAGATGCAAAGTCATGAAGGTCGGTGAAGGGTAAAGAAGACCGCAGACAAAGTATAGGTTAGGTGGCCAAAAACTGCAAACCTCACTCAAAGAGAAAGACCTAGGAGTGACTTTAATACCGAGTACATCGCCAGAAGCACACATTATCCAGATAACTGCTGCAGCATATGGGCGCCTGGCAACCTGAGAATAGCGTTCCGATACCTCAGTAAGGAATCGTTCAAGACTCTGTATACCATTTACGTCAGGCCCATACTGGAGTATGCAGCACCAGTTTGGAACCCACACCTGGTCAAACACGTCAAGAAATTAGAGAAAGTGCAAAGGTTTGCAACAAGACTAGTCCCAGAGCTACGGGGATTGTCCTACGAAGAAAGGTTAAGGGAAATCGGCCTGACGACACTGGAGGACAGGAGGGTCAGGGGAGACATGATAACGGCATACAAAATACTGCGTGGAATAGACAAGATGGACAGAGACAGGATGTTCCAGAGATAGGACGCAGAAACAAGGGGTCACAATTGGAAGCTGAAGATTTAGATGAGTCAAAGGGATGCTAGGAAGTTGTGGAAAATACTGTATATATTTTCTGGAAATACGGTAATTTATAGGTAAATAGATGCCCTATATTGTATTTTTAAAAGAAGTATGTTATCGAAAAAAAAGAGGAGACTCGCCATCTTGGTTTTTGAATTTTGTACAAATGTTGGTGTAATGGGACAAATGACAAAGAAAATACACAAATGAAATAGAGAAGCAGCCCAGCCACCGTGGAGAGAAGACGTCGTCGTTCCTGCTCTTCAGCTGAGCAACTCTGAACACTGTTGCTCGGGAATTTTCTTGTGTTATCCTGAGTAATTCTTCACCAGAGCTGAGAGGAAACTTGCTTGCAGTCAAAAAAACCATACCCCCGGCCGGGATTGAACCCGCGGTCATAGAGTCTCAAAACTCCAGCCGGAGTTTTGAGACTATGACCGCGGGTTCAATCCCGGCCGGGGGTATGGTTTATTTGCAATCGTGTCATTACGATTTCTTGAGTCTTGCTTGCAGTCACTTCGAGCCCCATCCCATCAAGAGGGTAAGGCGGTGACTTGCTTGCTTGTTCACCCCTCTCATCCCCATCCCCCCATCCTACCCTCACCCATACATCAACACTGGCCCACACACTAAACACACTACATACATTGCTATCCTTCTGACTGTCCTATCTTCTTTTTCGGCAACTTCGCTTTGGCGAGTTAACACAAGGCATTTTGACCATCTGGTAGCCCGTGTGGTTTTTTAAAATCCAGCCGATCTTTGCCTTGGGCCCTTTCCCCTCACTACTCGAGGGTAGGCTATCTTAGGGGCTGACCTTCATAAGTCAGCTGAAATAGGATGCTAGTTTAACATCAAGGAAAGTTCCCTTTTTGTTAAGAAACTCCTCTGCCAGCTGCAAGTAAAGGAATGCTATTGGGAGAAAAATAAACAACGTTTAAAATTGAAGTTAAACTTTTATTTAGTGAATTTAACAACTTTATAATGTACCCAGTAAAAAATCATGTGGGAAGTATTCAAAAGTTTACAGAAGCACAAGTCACTATGACTGACTTTTTTGGGGTTATTCTAGACAATTTACATTAGGTATGATAATTGTACTTATGTGTACCTGTGCCTCGCCAGATAAATGCCTAAATAAACCTACCTTCTTACTTATTTACTTGCTTACTTATTTACTTACTTGCTTGCTTACTTACTTATTTACTTACACAAAACTTCAAAATGTAAAGATTTTGCCACCGAAGTGGCTAGTTTATTGTGCACCCCATATCCATCCTGTGGACGGTAGCGCGAGAGCATATGGATACACAAAAGGCCTAGGAACTAGGCCCCAAAGGGTTAACAGGAATACATATGGATTTATATCTACATATCTATAGTTCACTTATCTGTTACAAGCAAATTTAGGAAATTTGCTTAGTATATCTGGTATCTTATTTTCATTAATAAGATATCTTGACATGTCACATAGGTTATTATACTGTCTGTCTCTGTATTCCTCAATAAGTGGACAATTAAGCACATAGTGTTCAAGAGAGTGACCATATGCCTGATCACATAATTTACATTTAGTTTGATCATCATCTGTGTGTCTCCCAAACTGCCAGAAGTACTTGTAACCAAGCCTAAGCCTGGCCACTACAACATCAGTCAGTCTGTTCACATTGCAAGTTGCTCCATAAACATACTTATCTACGTTCATGTTATCATAGTGGGTTATAGATCTACTCAGGCTTCTAACTGCATTCCTAGTTCAGCATATTTAGTACAAAATTTACACGATAGATGTCGCTTAAGGTAGCAGTAACTGGCAATGATTTGTTATATATTTACATTAAGTATTTTTCCCCTGAGTGATTCATCTTTATTACCTCAGTGTTCAGTAAAGTAAACAGTCATCGTGGTGGTGCCTCCTCACCTGATAATTTCACATTTTTCTCGTAATTATGGCGTTAGAGGCCATTAATGGCGTGTCCAGGTACCACAGTAAGTTAGATGATCTGGGGGAAGAAATGGTCATCCCAGAAATAGGAAATTTGAAGAATCAGTATCAACTCTGTACACCAGATCTACCTAAGGTAAGTTTTTTTTTGTTACTTATGCCGGGAATTATAGTTCAAGGGAGGTGGTTTTGGTGACGGTGAAGGGTTCTTCATCCAGAAAATTTGAAGAACCCTATTCACACACAAAATACTTGGGGAGAAACCATAGGTTTCGGTCCATCCTAGACCATTAAGATAAGATTTATTCGAATTTTTAACCCAGAGGGTTAGCCACCCAGGACAGCCCAAGAAAGTCGGTGCATCATCCAGGACTGTCTGTCTTATTTCCATTGTGCTCCTTGAATCTTGTCCCCCCCCCCAGGATGCGACCCACACCAGGAATCGCGGGAAGAACTAAAAGCCATAAATGAAATCGAAAGAAACCCAAAGTATTTCTTCTCCTATGCCAAATCAAAATCGAGAACAACGTCCAGTATTGGGCCCCTACTTAAACAAGATGGGTCCTACACAGATGACAACAAGGAAATGAGTGAGCTACTCAAGTCCCAATATGACTCAGTTTTTAGCAAGCCGCTAACCAGACTGAGAGTCGAAGATCAAAATGAATTTTTTATGAGAGAGCCACAAAATTTGATTAACACAAGCCTATCCGATGTTATCCTGACGCCAAATGACTTCGAACAGGCGATAAATGACATGCCCATGCACTCTGCCCCAGGGCCAGACTCATGGAACTCTGTGTTCATCAAGAACTGCAAGAAGCCCCTATCACGAGCCTTTTCCATCCTATGGAGAGGGAGCATGGACACGGGGGTCGTCCCACAGTTACTAAAAACAACAGACATAGCCCCACTCCACAAAGGGGGCAGTAAAGCAACAGCAAAGAACTACAGACCAATAGCACTAACATCCCATATCATAAAAATCTTTGAAAGGGTCCTAAGAAGCAAGATCACCACGCATCTAGACACCCATCAGTTACACAACCCAGGGCAACATGGGTTTAGAACAGGTCGCTCCTGTCTGTCTCAACTATTGGACCACTACGACAAGGTCCTAAATGCACTAGAAGACAAAAAGAATGCAGATGTAATATATACAGACTTTGCAAAAGCCTTCGACAAGTGTGACCATGGCGTAATAGCGCACAAAATGCGTGCTAAAGGAATAACAGGAAAAGTCGGTCGATGGATCTATAATTTCCTCACTAACAGAACACAGAGAGTAGTCGTCAACAGAGTAAAGTCCGAGGCAGCTACAGTGAAAAGCTCTGTTCCACAAGGCACAGTACTCGCTCCCATCTTGTTCCTCATCCTTATATCCGACATAGACAAGGATGTCAGCCACAGCACCGTGTCTTCCTTTGCAGATGACACCCGAATCTGCATGACAGTGTCTTCCATTGCAGACACTGCAAAGCTCCAGGCAGACATCAACCAAATCTTTCAGTGGGCTGCAGAAAACAATATGAAGTTCAACGATGAGAAATTTCAATTACTCAGATATGGTAAACATGAGGAAATTAAATCTTCATCAGAGTACAAAACAAATTCTGGCCACAAAATAGAGCGAAACACCAACGTCAAAGACCTGGGAGTGATCATGTCGGAGGATCTCACCTTCAAGGACCATAACACTGTATCAATCGCATCTGCTAGAAAAATGACAGGATGGATAATGAGAACCTTCAAAACTAGGGAGGCCAAGCCCATGATGACACTCTTCAGGTCACTTGTTCTATCTAGGCTGGAATATTGCTGCACACTAACAGCACCTTTCAAGGCAGGTGAAATTGCCGACCTAGAAAATGTACAGAGAACTTTCACGGCGCGCTTTAAGGGAGAATAAAACCCCCTAAATTTATTGGGAGCGCTTGAGGTTCCTAAACCTGTATTCCCTGGAACGCAGGAGGGGAGATACATGATTATATACACCTGGAAAATCCTAGAGGGACTAGTACCGAACTTGCACACGAAAATCACCCTACGAAAGCAAAAGATTGGCAGAACGATGCACCACCCCCCCAATGAAAAGCAGGGGTGTCACTAGCACGTTTAAGAGACCATACAATAAGTGTCAGGGGCCCGGGGACTGTTCAACTGCCTCCCAGCACACATAAGGGGGAATTACCAACAGACCCCTGGCAGTCTTCAAGCTGGCAACGGGGACAAGCACCTAAAGTCATTTCCCGGATCACCCGGGCTGTGGCTCGTATTTTTGGTTTGCGTGCAGCCAGCAGCAACACCCTGGTTGATCAGGCTCTGATCCCCCAGGAGGCCTGGTCTCGACCGGGCGCGGGGGCGTTGCCCCCCGGAACTCATCTCCAGGTAAACTCCAGTCGACAAACACTCAGGTCCCTGCTTACTACTAGGTGAACGGGGACAACAGGTGTAAGGAAAACATACCAGCATTTCCACCCGTGTTGGGGAAATGAAACCGCAGACATCCCTGGTGAGGTGAAAAACGTTGCAAGCAAGTCACAAGTGTCATGTGACTTCACAGTTGTCCAGGATAAACGGGAAAACATTGTCAAAAGGTTTCTTTCCTGGTATGGAATTTTAGTTAATTGTTCCAGCCATGGAATTGTAAACTGGAAGAACCTACTATTTTTTTTGGGATCAAACCTCTACTCAAGAGTAAAAATTTAAAAATTTATTTGCCTTCATACCCTAGGTGCTTTATGGTCCTTATGGGTCTGGAGCTTCCACATGATATAATTCCTATGGGTTTAGCACCCCCACCTACCAATGAATATATAAAATACAAATTTAACTGAGGCTTGGCTTGGGTGCTCTTCCCCTCAGGGAAGGTTCCTTGATGTTGGTGAGGGGCTCTTGATTTAGGGAATTGGATCTGTGCCCTGGTTCCCCGAATTAAGCCTGAATGCTTTCCACATCCCCCCTAGGCGCTGTATAATCCTACGGGTTTAGCGCTTCCCCTTGATTATTATATTATATAATTGGGTGCTCTTGCCTAGGTAGCGGCCTCATTTTACACTGGGGGACTGGGGTTCTGTCCCCAGACTGTTTGTAACATTGGATGTGTTTCCTTATGCCTGTTGTCTGTTCACCTTACAGTAAATAAGAATTTGGTTGTTAGGCAACTGTTTATGAGTGGCATCCTGGGTAAGAGGATCATTGACCTCAGTGGAAATAAATCATACTGATTGGCTTTCTTTGATTATCTTGGGTTACTAACCGTCTTGGTTAATAATCCAAATAACATCCTTTTTTCCAAGTTTGAAATTTCTATTATTTTTCCTTTCATGTGGCAGTAAAGCTATAAAATCTTTGGACTATTTCTAGATGATGGCAGTGATAAGAAATATTATGTTAGCCATTATTGATTCACTTTAAACGCATTGAAGCCTGTAAAATAAGTTTAGTTAAGGGACACTGCTTCATAGATCAGCAAGGAGAGATTTTTGCACTTCATGTGTGCTTGGCTGCAATACTGTATTTACTTCTAGGAAGTGTCTATTTACCCAATAGCCAGGTATTAAACAGTTTAAAGACTAATGACACAGCAGTTAAGTAGTGGCCACATAAGGGGGATTACCAATAGACCCCTGGCTGTCTTCAAGCAGGCACTGGACAAGCACCTAAAGTCGGTACCTGACCAGCCAGGCTGTGGCTCGTACGTTGGATTGCGTGCAGCCAGCAGTAACAGCCTGGTTGATCAGGCTCTGATCCACCAGGAGACCTGGTCACAGACTGGGCCGCGGGGGCGTTGACCCCCGGAACTCTCTCCGGGTAAACTCCAGGTATAAAAATGTATGTTTAACCAAATATAAGCAAATTGAAAATTAAACAAACCTGATATCTGGCAGTGTGATTCAGTATCTTTTTTTGGGGGGAGACCAGCTGCTGGTCCAATAAAGGTAATTGATTGTGGTGTAATAAAGGTTTAGTTCTACTTATATGGATGCACAATAAGTTTCCTTGACCTAGATGTTCTCTCGTGCGCTTTAAATAAAAAGGAGTAGATTGGTAAGTTAGTAATTTTATTCAGATTTGCTGACAAACTTCAACATAGAGTAAAGAATTTTTTTTATTTCAATTAAGTGTGAAATTATGTTTTGTGCTTCTACATTTCTGAAGTTTTGGGTAACTGCAAAAGTAATTATGGTATGTTTTACATTTTGCAGTCTGAGTGCCAGATTGGAGAGTTTCTGATAGATGAGACTGGTCGTAAAATCAAGCTCAACTATGCTCATGGCACCACTACTCTAGGCTTCAAGTTTAATGGTGGGGTTGTCATGGCTGTTGACTCCAGAGCCACATCTGGACAGTACATAGGTAAGTTATTTATAGTAAGACATTTCATGTAGCTTTTTAAAAATTCCACCAAGGCACAGCAGCCCAAAGTAGGAAACTGTAATGTAATTAAAAATGCAAATGGTTCCCTGAGCCACATGTTCCATACACAGTACTGTACTATGTGGTTGCAGTCTTCAGAAGTCTGACGGGATGCTTTTGATTTACTGGTGATGGAGTATATGATATACTGTACTATATATATTCACTACCAATGTGTGTGTGATTATTCATTTCATTACATATTTGTTGATGCAGCACCTTATGGTGCTGTAGTACAATTTTTAAAACTGCACTTGACGTAATATCTTCTCTCATATTGCATTCCACTGTTCTTGTTCTTAGTTTAAAATACTGTACCATACAACTAGTCTCTTCTTCTCACAGTTTACAATGTTAACAATCCTTCAACTATCCATACTTCCTTCTACTGTATCTGAGTCTCATGTCTCCTGTTTTTCTGACAGGCAATGTTGATATTATTAGTGCTTTCAGCCTTTCTTTGTAACTTGTAATTTTTCTGTTTGGTTTACATAATTTTTTTTATAGACTATACTGCTATATATTTTTTGAAGTTTCTCTCTCTCTGCAGTTATGGTACAGAACTTCTGAAAACCAACAATTTGCTCAAAGTACAGTAATTCCTTGCAAAAGTTCTTTCTATATTTAGAAAGAACATGGCTTATCTTAGGAGTATAAGTTGTCCTGAAGATAGTTCTAATGTTCATTCTGAGAACATATTTTGATGAACTACACACATGACATGAGCTTTTTGGCCATCTCAGGCAGCAGGCAGCATATATTTTTGCCATTAAAATCTTGGATGCTACAAAAAAGTGAAACTTTTATATACTGAATGTCTTTTTAGTAAAAATGTTTACTAGTTCACACATGAATTTGATAGATATTGTTTCATAATATGTTGATAAATTTTTTCTAAAGGAGTTGTGTCCCAAAGAAGGATATGTGTTCACTATCACTAAATCCCAATTATCATGACTTTTTTGGTGTCTTGCAGGATCTGGTAATGTGAAGAAGATAATTGAGATCAACCCATATCTTCTGGGAACAATGGCAGGGGGTGCTGCTGACTGCACGTACTGGGAACGTGTTCTTGCCAAGCAATGTCGTATATATGAACTGAGGTAAACAGTATAATTGGGAATGAGATTATGTAGAAATAAGTAGTCATTTGTTTCAATTTACTGTTATATAAACTGGTGTATAAACCTGTAGTGGAGGGAAGGGGGGGTAGGGGTTGTCTGGGAAAGGATGGAGGGAGAGGGATAAAAGAGGTTTTGTGTGCAAGGGGCCTGGACATGCAGCAGGCATGTATGAGCATGTTAGATATGAGTGAATGGCAACGAATGGTTTTTGGGACCTGGTAAGCTGTTGGAGTGTGAGCAGAGTAATATTTTGTGAAGGGGTTCAGGGAAACTGGTTAGTTGGACTTAGTCTTGGAGGTCGGAAGTACAGTGCCTGCACTCTAAAGAGGGATTTGGCACCTCTGCGTGAATATTGTGTCAGCATTTAACTTTACTAAAAAATCTCCAAATTACCTAAATCTTAAAACTTCAAGACTAGACGCCCAAGTTCATACATTGACTAATACTACTAGTACGTAGTAGTACAAATACCTACCCAAAACAGTACTACCCTACACCCAATTGTAGCGTTCTCATACTGTAAACTACTTTCAGCAAATCACAAACCGATAATGTAATTTAAATATTTACTATTGCAACTATTGTACAACTTAAATTATGATAAATTCTTTAGTATTAAGTAGTCAGTAAGCCATTAACCCTTTCAGGGTTTCGTACGTACTAGTATGGCTTACGCACCAGGGTTTTTGACGTACTAGTACGCCTAAATTCTAGTGCACTGAAATCTAGTGAGAGAAAGCTGGTAGGCCTACATATGAAAGAATGGGTCTATGTGGTCAGTGTGCGCAGTATAATAAAAATCCTGCAGCACACAGTGCGTAATGAGAAAAAAAAAACTTTGACCATGTTTTTGGATTAAAACAGCGACTTTGCACTGTATTTTCGTATGGTATTTATTGTTGTATTTTAGTTTTCCTGGTCTCATTTTATAGAATGGAAGACATATTACAGAAATGAGAGATGATTTTGACTGATTTTAGAATGAAAAGTACCTTGAAATTGAACTCAAAGTAGCAGGAATGTTCTATTTTTACCAAAGTTCAAAAGTAAACAAATCATGCTAAGCGTCCAATACACATCAACTGGTGAGTCTAATATTCTTTCACAAGTGCGTTGATATTATTTATAACATTTCTACACTAATGCAGTAGTCTGCATAAGAGTAAATCTTCTATTTTTTGTGAGAATAAAAATTCAAAGTGGAAAGCAAAAGAATGTAAGAAGGGCATTGGGACATGACTAATGAGCAGAGGAAATGTTATTTTAGTGCCAGGAATGTCTGTCTTGTTTATTCTGGACTCTATTTGGAAATTGGCATCTTTTGAAATTTGTGTGAAATTGGCAAAATTGCTAAATTTTGACCACTTTATTGGATAGTTGAAATTGGTAAATGGGTAGTTTCTAGTATTCATTCGATAGACAAAATGGAGCTCTAGCGAAATAGTTATGATTTTTGTCGACTAGTACACTGGAATTGGCCGAAAATAGGGCTCAAAGTGGGCAAAATCGCCGATGCCTAAACATCGTCGAGACTGCTAACTTCACGAGAGCATAATTCCATAAGTTTTCCATCAAATTTCATACTTTTGGTGTCATTATGATCGGGAAAAGATTCTGTCTTTTCACAAGAATTTTTTTTTTTTTTTTTTTTTAAATTTTGGCGACCCTGAGAACAAGTTTCGGAGAGAGCCTGCCGACCTTGAAAGGGTTAAATTAAGTCTGCCCATAATGCCTAGGCATGATAGAGGCTCTCTTTGCACTGCAACTCATTATTGTCAATACATAATCTCAATGTACTACTTGCAAAGAAATAAAATTGATTGATTGATGGTGAAAGTGTTTTTCTTTTTTGGGTCACCCTGCCTCAGTGGGAGACAGCTGTCTTGTTGAAAAAAAAACTATATTTTCCAGTCATAGTTTATTATCATTTTACTTACCATCAAGCCTGTATTTTTCCCAGAGGTCTTGCATAACTGTACAAAGAGTTTAATTTGTGTATTTTTTTTTTTTTTCAACAAGTCGGCCGTCTCCCACCGAGGCAGGGTGACCCAAAAAAGAAAGAAAATCCCCAAAAAGAAAATACTTTCATCATCATTCAACACTTTCACCACACTCGCACATTATCACTGTTTTTGCAGAGGTGCTCAGAATACAACAGTCTAGAAGCATACACATATAAAGATACACAACATATCCCTCCAAACTGCCAATATCCCAAACCCCTCCTTTAAAGTGCAGGCATTGTACTTCCCATTTCCAGGACTCAAGTCCGACTATATGAAAATAACCGGTTTCCCTGAATCCCTTCACTAAATATTACCCTGCTCACACTCCAAACAGATCGTCAGGTCCAAGTACCATTCGTCTCCATTCATCCTATCTAACACGCTCACGCACGCTTGCTGGAAGTCCAAGCCCCTCGCCCACAAAACCTCCTTTACCCCCTCTCTCCAACCCTTTCGAGGACGACCCCTACCCCTCCTTCCTTCCCCTATAGATTTATATGCTTTCCATGTCATTCTACTTTGATCCATTCTCTCTAAATGACCAAACCACCTCAACAACCCCTCTTCTGCCCTCTGACTAATACTTTTATTAACTCCACACCTTCTCCTAATTTCCAAACTCCGAATTTTCTGCATAATATGTTCACTTTCAGCTTTCTACCTTTACACACATTCCCAAACTCATCCACTAACCTTTGCAATTTTTCTTTAGAATCTCCCTAAAATCTCTCTAAAATCTTCAATTTCATGTATTTTAACAGGTTTGTGTACTAATATCTTTTGTACCTCTCTACACCCCTCTATACTGTATTCATTTCTTTCAATTCATAGTTCCAGGGTTGGCAATTCATAATGGTAGTTTTTATCTTAGGCTCTGACCATCTGAATAAAGTAATTTGTTTTCCTGCCTGCAAAGACATGTGTATTATGGCTGTACAGTCTATTAATGAGCAAATAAATAAATATTTTCAGTCCAAATAATTTTAGGAAATTGCTTTACAGGTATGATTATTTTTTTACTTTTATTTTTTTTTGTGGGGGGGGGGGAGGCATTTATTTTTTAACACACCTGCTGCCTCCCACCAAGGTAGAGTAACCCAAGAAAGGACAGCTTTACTATCTTTCATTCAGTAACTGTCTTGTCAGAAGTATGCAGCTATCACAATTCAAATGACCCTCTGAACTACAGCCTTTCCTTCAATTCAGGGACTGTATTTCCCACTTCCAGGACCAGAGTCCTGCTGTCCGATATTCCTGAATCTTCATAAGGGTTACATTGCTTGCACTGCAACAGCACATTAAGGCATAAAAGCCACTTTTCTCTACTTGCTCTGATCCAACATGCTCACAAGCCTGCTGGATACTCAAGCCCTAATATTCAAAAACCTTTCCTGTAGCTTTTTTTCTTCATAGTTTTGAATCTGATCATTTATGTCTTAATTCTTTAATGATTTTCTTAAATTATGAGCTCCATTTTCAAAAATTACTGCATTATCATATTTTGAAATACCTCTTTACAATGATCTCAGAGATGGAAAACATGACTCTTCAAGACTTGGGCTTTCAGCATTGGGCGATAACTATTGTACTTAGATGCAGCCATTAATTTTTTTTTTTTTTCAACAAGTCGGCCGTCTCCCACCGAGGCAGGGTGACCCAAAAAGAAAGAAAATCCCCAAAAAGAAAATACTTTCACCATCATCATTCAACACTTTCACCTCACTCACACATAATCACTGTTTTTGCAGAGGTGCTCAGAACACAACAGTTTAGAAGCATATACGTATAAAGATACACAACATATCCCTCCAAACTGCTAATATCCCAAAACCCCTCCTTTAGAGTGCAGGCATTGTACTTCCCATTTTTCCCGGACTCGAGTCCCGGGTATATAAAAATAACCGGTTTCCCTGAATCCCTTCACTAAATATTACCCTGCTCACACTCCAACTGATCGTCAGGACCCAAATACCATTCATCTCCATTTACTCCTATCGAATACGCTCATGCACGCCTGCTGGAAGTCCAAGCCCCTCACCCACAAAACCTCCCTTACCCCTTCCTTCCAACCTTTTCGAGGACGACCCCTACCCCGCCTTCCTTCTCCTACAGATTTAAATGCTCTCCATGTCATTCTACTTTGATCCATTCTCTCTAAATAACCAAACCACCTCAACAACCCCTCTTCAGCCCACTGACTAATACTTTATTCACTCCACACCTTCTCCTAATTTCCACACTCCGAATTTTCTGCATAATATTTACACCGCACATTGCCCTTAGACAGGACATCTCCACTGCCTCCTTGCTGCTGCATTCACAACCCAAGCTTCACACCCATACAAGAGTGTTGGTACTACTATACTTTCATACATTCCCTTCTTTGCCTCCATAGATAACGTTTTTTGACTCCACATATACCTCAACGCACCACTCGCCTTTTTTCCCTCATCAATTCTATGATTAACCTCATCCTTCATAAATCCATCCGCCGACACATCAACTCCCAAGTATCTGAAAACATTCACTTCTTCCATACTCCTCCTCCCCAATTTGATATCCAATTTTTCTTTATCTAAATCATTTGATACCCTCATCACCTTACTCTTTTCTATGTTCACTTTCAACTTTCTACCTTTACACACACTCCCAAACTCATCCACTAACCTTTGCAGTTTTTCTTTAGAATCTCCCATAAGCACGGTATCATCAGCAAAAAGTAACTGTGTCAATTCCCATTTTGTATTTCATTCCCCATAATTTAATCCCACCCCTCTCCCGAACACCCTAGCATTTACTTCTTTTACAACCCCGTCTATAAATATATTAAACAACCATGGTGACATTACACATCCCTGTCTAAGACCTACTTTTACCGGGAAGTAGTCTCGCCCTCTTCTACACACCCTAACCTGAGCCTCACTGTCCTCATAAAAACTCTTTACAGCATTTAGTAACTTACCACCTATTCCATATACGTACTTGCAACATCTGCCACCTTGCTCCCCTATCCACTCTATCATATGCCTTTTCTAAATCCATAAATGCAATAAAAACTTCCCTACCTTTATCTAAGTACTGTTCACATATATGCTTCAATGTAAACACTTGATCTACACATCCCCTACCCACTCTGAAACCTCCTTGCTCATCCGCAATCCTACATTCTGTCTTGCCTCTAATTCTTTCAGTTATGACCCTACCGTACACTTTTCCTGGTATACTCAGTAAACTTATTCCTCTATAATTTTTACAATCTCTTTTGTCCCCCTTCCCTTTATATAAAGGGACTATACATGCTCTCTGCCAACCCCTAGGTACCTTCCCCTCTTTCACACATTTATTAAACAAAAGTACCAACCACTCCAACACTATTTCCCCCCCTGCTTTTAACATTTCTGTCATGATCCCATCAGTTCCAGCTGCTTTACCCCCTGTCATTCTACGTAATGCCTCACGTACCTCGCCTACACTTACAATCTGCTCTTCTTCACTCCTAAAAGATGGTATACCTCCCTGGCCAGTGCATGAAATTACCGCTTCCCTTTCTTCCTCGACATTTAAAAGTTCCTCAAAATATTCTCGCCATCTACCTAATACCTCCCTCTCCCCATCTACTAACTTCCCTACTCTGTTTTTAACTGACAAATCCATACCTTCCCTAGGCTTTCTTAACTTGTTTAACTCGCTCCAAAATTTTTTCTTATTTTCATTAAAATTTCTTGACAGTGCCTCTCCCACTCTATCATCTGCTGTCCTTTTGCACTCTCTCACCACTCTCTTCACCTTTCTTTTACTCTCCATATACTCTGCACTTCTTATAACACTTCTGCTTTGTAAAAACCTCTCATATGCTAAATTTTTATCTTTTATCACACCCTTTACTTCATCATTCCACCAATCACTCCTCTTTCCTCCTGCCCCCACCCTCCTATAACCACAAACTTCTGCCCCACATTCTAATTCTGCATTTTCAAAACTCGTCCAACCCTCTTCAACCTCCCCCCCCCCCACTACTCATCTTTGCACTAGCCCACCTTTCCACCAATAGTCGCTTATATCTCACCCGAACTTCCTCCTCCCTTAGTTTATACACTTTCACTTCCCTCCTACTTGTTGTTGCCACCTTCCTCTTGTCCCATCTACCTCTTACTCTAACTGTAGCTACAACTAAATAATGATCCGATATATCAGTTGCCCCTCTATAAACATGTACATCCTGGAGCCTACCCATCAACCTTTTATCCACCAATACATAATCTAACAAACTACTTTCATTACGTGCTACATCATACCTTGTATATTTATTTATCCTCTTTTTCATAAAGTATGTATTACTTATTACCAAATTTCTTTCTACACATAGCTCAATTAAAGGCTCCCATTTACATATACCCCTGGCACCCCAAATTTACCTACTACTACCTCCACAACATTTTTACCCACTTTAGCATTGAAATCCCCAACCACAAGTACTCTCACACTTGGTTCAAAACTCCCCACGCATTCACTCAACATTTCCCAAAATCTCTCTCTCCTCTACACTTCTTTCTTCTCCAGGTGCATATACGCTTACTATAACCCACTTTTCACATCCAACCTTTATTTTACTCCACATAATCCTTGAATTAATACATTTATAGTCCCTCTTTTCCTGCCATATCTTATCCTTCAAAATTATTGCTACTCCTTCTTTAGCTCTAACTCTATTTGAAACCCCTGACCTAATCCCATTTATTCCTCTCCACTGAAACTCTCCCACCCCCTTCAGATTTGTTTCACTTAAAGCCAAGACATCCAGCTTCTTCTCATTCATAACATCCACAATCATCTCTTTCTTATCATTTGCACAACATCCACGCACATTCGGACTTCCCACTTTGACAATTTTCTTCTTCTTATTCTTTTTAGTAATCTTTACAGGAAAAGGGGTTACTAGCCCATTGTTCCCGGCATTTTAGCTGACTTTTACAACACCCATGGCTTACGGAAGAAAGATTCTTATTCCACTTCCCCATGGATATAAAAGGAAAAGTAAATAGACCAAGAACTATTAATATAAAATCAAAGAAAACTCAGATGAGTGTGTATAAATAAACGTGTACATGTATGTGTAGTGTGACTTAAGTGTAAGTAGAAGTAGCAAGACATACCTGTAATCTTGCATATTTATGAGACAGACAAGACACCAGCAATCCTACCATCATGTAAAACAATTACAGGCTTTCGTTTTCACTCACTTGGCAGGACGGTAGTACCTCCCTGGGTGGTTGCTGTCTACCAACCTACATGCTTTGGGAAATAACCTACAGCATTTATTATGAATAAACTAATGTATAGACTAGAATGAATACACATGAGTAAATGTAAAGGAAGAGTAATTCTTTAAAATATTGTAGTCCACATTTAATGTACAGTGTACGACAATTCACAGTTGATATAAGTGTGAATTAACCACTAAAGTAACCACTAAAGGTGGAAAGACCAGAGAATGTAGTTGAACTAGTTACTGCCTTTTTGTTTAAATTTTTATTAATTACGAAATATTTCATCTATCCTGCTTCACCATTGCACATTAAGTAATGTTTTTGTGTTGTAGGAACCGGGAACGTATCTCAGTAGCTGCTGCCTCCAAGTTATTAGCCAACATGGTGTATCAGTACAAGGGCTATGGGCTGTCCATGGGTGTCATGATTGCTGGTTGGGACAAGAAGGTAAGGCTTTTTCATTTTAGGTTTATTATATCTACACTTTAACAGGCATATGCAGTAGTATTGAACTGATAATGTCAGACTGTATGGTACTGTATGTTAAGAGCTGAATAAAACATTTTAATGCTTTTTAAACTGAACACCACAAAACATGCTATTGACTGTGATAATCTCTAAATGTGAAATCTCTGAACTGAAGTAGTTTTAGTCTATTAGTAAAATGAATAGTATTTCTATTAATACTTTTCAGGGTCCTGGTCTGTACTATGTTGATAATAATGGAAACCGCATGCCAGGCAATGTCTTCAGTGTTGGCTCTGGCTCTATTTATGCTTACGGTGTATTAGACTCAGGTTATCGCTCTGATATGTCTGATACAGAGGCACAAGAATTGGGCCGCCGAGCCATATACCATGCCACCCATCGTGATGCTTACTCTGGTGGTGTTGTTCGTGGTAAGTTAGAGTTGCCAAGACATAATAATACCAGGAAGTGTTCGTTTTTCCTACATTATCCACCATTAATACATTTTAATATACGTATTTGGGAAAGGCAGTGCCTGCCTCAGAAGGAAAGATGGGGATTTTGCAGTCAGAGGGCAATCTGAAATTATGATATTGGCACACTTCTGGCAAGGCAATGATTGAATACATTTATTTTCTCGGGGTCACCCTGCCTTGCAGGAGTTGGCCTTTGAGGAAAGTTTTGTTTTATGTTACTGCTTACAATAAATTTTCATAATCATTTGAGATGTGAACTTTACAATTGTCATTCTCACTTAAGATCTACACTGGATTATCAACTAATATAGGATTTTGAGTATTTTTTTTATTAACACACTGGCCGATTCCCACCAAGGCAGGGTGGCCTGAAAAAGAAAATTTTTTACCATCATTCACTCCATCACTGTCTTGCCAGAGGGGTGCTCTACACTACAGTTTATAAAACTGCAACATTAACACCCCTCCTTCAGAGTGCAGGCACTGTACTTTCCATCTCCAGGACTCGAGTCCGGCCTTCCGTTTTCCCCGAATCCCTTCATAAATGTTACTTTGCTCACACTCCAACAGCACGTCAAGTATTAAAAACCATTTGTCTCCATTCACTCCTATCAAACACGCTCGCGCATGCTTGCTGGAAATCCATGCCCCTCGCACACAAAACCTCCTTTACCCCCTCCCTCCAACCTTTCCTAGGCCGACCCCAACCCCGCCTTCCACTACAGATTGATACACTCTTGAAGTAATTCTGTTTCGTTCCATTCTCTCTTCATGTCCAAACCACCTCAACAACCCTTCCTCAGCCCTCTGGACAACAGTTTTGGCAATCCCGCACCTCCTCCTAACTTCCAAACTACGAATTCTCTGCATTATATTCACACCACACATAGCCCTCATACATGACATCTCCACTGACTCCAGCCTCCTCCTCGCTGCAACATTCATCACCCATGCTTCACACCCATATAAGAGCGTTGGTAAAGCTATACTCTCATACATTCCCCTCTTTGCTTCCAAGGACAAAGTTCTTTGTCTCCACAGACTCCTAAGTGCACCGCTCACCCTTTTACCCTCATCAATTCTATGATTCACCTCATCTTTCATAGACCCATTCGCTGACACGTCCACTCCCAAATATTGGAATACATTCACCTCCTCCATACTCTCTCCCTCCAATCTGATATCCAATCTTTCATCACCTAATCTTTTTGTTATCCTCATAACCTTACTCTTTCCTGTATTCACTTTTAATTTTCTTCTTTTACATACCCTACCAAATTCATCCACCAACCTCTGCAACTTCTCTTCAGAATCTCCCAAGAGCACAGTGTCATCAGCAAAAAGCAACTGTGACAACTCCCACTTTATGTGTGATTCTTTATCTTTTAACTCCTCGCCTCTTGCCAAGACCCTCGCACTTACTTCTCTTACAACCCCATCTATAAATATATTGAACAACCACGGTGACATCACACATCCTTGTCTAAGGCCTACTTTTACTGGGAAATAATCTCCTTCCTTGCTACATACTCTGACTTGAGCCTCACTATCCTCATAAAAACTCTTTACTGCTTTCAGTAACCTACCTCCTTTACCATACACCTGCAACATCTGCCACATTGCCCTCCTATCCACCCTATCATACGCCTTTTCCAAATCCATAAATGCCACAAAAACCTCTTTAGCCTTATCTAAATACTGTTCACTTATATGTCTCATTGTAAGCACTTGGTCTACACACCCCCTACCTTTCCTAAAGCCTCCTTGTTCGTCTGCTATCCTATTCTCCGTCTTACTCTTAATTCTTTCAATAATAACTCTACCATACACTTTACCCGGTATACTCAACAGACTTCTCCCCCTATAATTTTTGCACTCTCTTTTGTCCCCATTGTCTTTATACAAAGGAACTATGCATGCTCTCTGCCATTCCCTAGGTACCTTACCCTCTTCCATACATTTATTAAATAATAGCACCAACCACTCCAAAACTATATCTGCCTCACCCTCTTTCATTTTATCTACTGCCTCACGAACTTCCCCCACACTCACAACTGGCTCTTCCTCACTCCTACAAGATGTTATTCCTCCTTGCCCTGTACATGAAATCACAGCTTCCCTATCTTCATCAACATTAACAATTCCTCAAAATATTCCCTCCATCTTCCCAATACCTCTAACTCTCCATTTAATAACTCTCCTCTCCTATTTTTAACTGACAAATCCATTTGTTCTCTAGGCTTCCTTAACTTGTTAATCTCACTCCAAAACTTTTTCTTATTTTCAACAAAATTTGTTGACAACATCTCACCCACTCTCTCATTTGCTCTCTTTTTACATTGCTTCACCACTCTCTTAACCTCTCTCTTTTTCTCCACATACTCTTTCTTCCTTGCATCACTTCTACTTTGTAAAAACTTCTCATATGCTAACTTTTTTTTCCCTTACTACTCTCCTTACATCATCATTCCACCAATCGCTCCTCTTTCCTCCTGCACCCACTTTCCTGTAACCACAAACTTCTGCTGAACCCTCTAAAACTACATTTTTAAGTAATCTGAATTATTCATTCTAGACAGATGGTTACTTTTCTGCAACAATCTCTGGATGAGAAATTCCTCCCTTTGGACCCTTCAGGAGGGTTGCCTGAATGCTGAAGGGCTCAGGATCCAAGGAATTGGAGTTTCCCATCCCTTAGATCATATGTAATTTTTTTTTTTTTCAACATACCGGCTGTCTCCCACCGAGGCAGGGTGACCCAAAAGAGAAAGAAACACTCATTCACACATAATCAGTGGCTTTGCAGAGGTGCCCAGATGTGACAGTTTATTATCACCTGTTAAGGTGTGTCTTTATATGTGTATGCTTCTGGACTGTTGTATTCTGAGCACCTCTGCAAAAACAGTGATAATGTGCGAGTGTGGTGAAAGTGTTGAATGATGATGAAAGTATTTTCTTTTTGGGGATTTTCTTTCTTTTTTTTTTTTTTGGGTCACCCTGCCTCGGTGGGAAACGGCCGACTTGTTGGAAAAAAAAAAAAAAAGGTACTATATTACCCTTGTAGGTTTAGCACTTCCCCATGAATATAATTTAGTAATCCTACCTTTGGAGGCCAAAACATTATGAATAAAAGACCAAGACAGTTTTTTGGGGGGAAGTTAAATTCTAACTGTGATGAATAACACTAATTTTGTGGTTATTAACCCTTTCAGGGTCGACAGGCCCTCTCAGAGACTTGTTCTCAGGGTCGCCCAAATTTAAAGAAAAAAAAAATTCTTATGAAAAGGTAGAGAATCTTTTCCCAATCATAATGACACCAAAAGTATGAAATTTGATGGAAAACTTACGGAATTATGCTCTCGTGAAGTTAGCGGTCTCGACGATGTTTACACATCGGGGATTTTGCCCACTTTGAGCCCTATTTTCAGCCAATTCCAGTGTACTTGTCGACAAAAATCATAACTATTTTGCTAGAACTCCATTTTTTCTATCGAATGAGTACAAGAAACCACTCGTTTACCGATTTCAACTATCCAATACAGTGGTCAGAATTTAGCAATTTTGCCAATTTCACACAAATTTCAAAAGCTGCCAATTTCCGAATAGGGTCCAGAATAAACAAGAAAGACATTCCTGGCACTAAAATAACATTTCCTCTGTTCATTAGTCATGTCCCCATGCCCCTCTTACATTTTTTTGCTTTCCACTTTGAAATTTTATTCTCACAAAAAAATGGAAGATTTACTGTTATGCAGACTACTGCATTGGTGTAAAATGGTATAAATAATATCAGCGCACTTGTGAAAGAATATTAGACTCACCAGTTGACATGTATTGGACGCATAGCATGATTTGTTTACTTTTGAACTTTGGTAAAAATCGAACATTTATGCTACTTTGAGCTCAATTTCAAGATACTTTTCTTTGTAAAACCAGTCAAAATCATCTCAGTTTCTGTAATATGTCTTCCATTCTATAAAATGAGACCAGGAAAACTAGAATACAACAATAAATACCATACGAAAATACAGTGCAAAGTTGCCGTTTTAATCCAAAAACACGGTCAGTTTTTTTTCTCATTACGCACTGTGTGCTGCAGGATTTTTTTTTATACCGCGCACACTGACCACATAGACCCATTCTTTCATTTGTAGGCCTACCAGCTTTCTTTCACTAGATTTGAGGGCCCTAAAATTTAGGCGTACTAGTACGCCGAAAACCCTGGTGCGTAAGCCGTACTAGTACGGCCGAAACCCTGAAAGGGTTAATTACCTAAATTTATTTTAACTGAATATTACCTTGATATAGAGCTGATAATAATTAAGACTTCACTACTTATTTAAAGAAGTATTGAGAAAAAAATATATTAATGAATTTGGGTCAAACAAGGTAAAAAAAAAAATAACCAATTAAGAATTGGGTGAGTAATGAACATGAAAGATAAAAGTATTTAATGGATTTGAGGAATTCAGTTTCAGATGGTAAGTGCATTTCTCAAATTCCAGTGTATATTGCTTAAGAGAAACATTGTGTAGTAGGGGTTTTCTAGATTCTAATGCCACATGGTTTAACAAGCAGGTGTGGAAATAAATAGGCAGCCAGTAATGCATTTAATTATGTATTTTCAGTTTATCACATCAAAGAAGATGGTTGGACCAAAATCACTGAGGAGGACAGCAAGGATCTACATTATAAATATGCAGAGGAGAAAACAAAAAGATCTCAGTAAATGTTAGGGGCATATTATACATTATCTGATTTGGTAGCCATTATGAATAATCTAGAACTGTTACTGTATATGTAATAGATTTGATGGCTGATGGATTAATTAAATTTGTGAACAGTATCCTTAAACATCATTATGATAAAACTAGCTTGGAGTTCAGTTATTTAGTTATTAATATTTGTTCAGCAATGATGGTATAATTTCTTTGCACTAAGGTATGTTTGCTCTGAAGACAATTTTTAATAAAGATAAATATAAATATTTAAAATATTTAATTACCTCCTAGGTAGTAGGTTGGTAGACAGCAACCGCCCAGGGAGGTACTACCGTCCTGCCAAGTGAGTGTAAAACGAAAGCCTGTAATTGTTTTACATGATGGTAGGATTGCTGGTGTCCTTTTTTCTGTCTCTTAAACATGCAAGAGTTCAGATATGTCTTGCTACTTCTACTTGCTCTTAGGTCACACTACACATACATGTACAAGCATATATATATACACCCCTCTGGGTATTCTTCTATTTTCTTTCTAGTTCTTGTCCTTGTTTATTTCCTCTTATCTCCATGGGGAAGTGGAACAGAATTCTTCCTCCATAAGCCATGCGTGTTGTAAGAGGCGACTAAAATGCCGGGAGCAACGGGCTAGTAACCCCTTCTCCCGTATAAATTATTAAATTTAAAAGAGAACCTTTCGTTTTTCTATTTGGGCCACCCTGCCTTGGTGGGATACGGCCGGTGTGTTGAAAGAAAGAAGAAACATGCAAGATTTCAGATACATCTTGCTACTTCTACTTACACTTAGGTCACACTACACATACATGTACAAGGATATATGTACATACCCCTCTGGGTTTTCTTCTGTTTTCTTTCTAGTTCTTGTTCTTGTTTATTTCCTCTTATCTCCATGGGGAAGTGGAACAGAATTCTTCCTCCATAAGCCATGCATGTCGTAAGAGGCAACTAAAATGCCGAGAGCAAGGGGCTAGTAACCCCTTCTCCTGTATATATTGCTAAATTTGAAAGGAGAAACTTTCGTTTTTCCTTTTGGGCCACCCCACCTCGGTGGGATACGGCTGGTACATTGAAAGAAAGAAGAAAGATTTAATTACCTTTGTTAATAAGGTGTCATGATCATGAGGTCTCATCTTTAACTCTTTCATTATAGCGTGCTTAAATCTGTCATTGATGCTAGCACAACTTCAAATGTGCTGTGAGTGGTAAATTGGCCTACCCATGAGACTGGATCTGCAGTGAGTGTGCCCAGTATAAAAAAAAATCCTGACCTCACAATGGAACCTCCAGTCTTTTGTGTGTGTGTGTTTTTTATGGTTTTTATTGGCTTTCTTGGTCATTTGAAAGAATGGAATATATATACTTATGAAAGAGATGATTTTGGTAAGTTTCAGCTTTTCAAGGAAGGTTCCCTAACGTTGGTGAGGGGTCTTGATCTAGGGAATTGGATCTGTGCTCCAGTTCCCTGAATTTAGCCTGAATATCTTCCACATCCATCCCACAGGCACTGCATAATCCAATGGGTTTAGCACTCCCCCTTGATTATATTAATAATAATGGTCAGTTTCAGACCAGAATTAGCTTGCATCTTAAAGAGTGGTGGAAATATTTTATTTTTGGCAACCCTTCCTGAGGAAAGGTAAGGCTCCCAAAGGACATCCCTAAGGCCCAGACTAACATGTTTTTTTTTTTTTCTTTTACTAGGTCAGCTTTAATTATTGGATGCCCTAAATTATGCCAAGTCATTCTTGATTATTTTATTACCTGAGAAATAGGGTAAAACTGATTTTTATTGTGGATTCGAAATGGAGGGCAAGTGATATAAGTAAAGAGGAAGGCTTGCAAAAAAATGACAAGCAAGTCTGCAAAGCATTGAACAAACAATTTGAAAAGGTCTTCTTGACTGAAACAGTGGCATTGCTAGAAGCCTGAAGGAAAGCATACAGGCAAAAAGGGAACAGATAAACACACTTCATGGTGCTGGATACATCATATTCCATAGGACCTGAGAAGGTGCCACCTTGGATTCATTATCCAAATCCACAAGCCCACAGAGATGGAACAGTTACCAAAGATCCTGAAGATAGCAAATGTAATCCTTATATTTAAGAAAAGGAACAGAAAGCATTGAACTACAGACCAGTTCCAATGATTTGCATACCCTGCAAGGTAATGGAGAAGAAAATCAAGAGAAGAGGGGTAGAGTACTTGGAGACAAGTGATTTCATAATAATCACCCTAGGTTCAGATATGATGAATCTTGTCTTGCTATCCTGCTCGAATTCTACGACAATGTAACAAAACCGAGATGAGAGAGAGGGATGGGTGGATTGCATTTTTTCTAGACAGTATGGAGGCATTCAGTAATGTACCCCACAATACTAGGACATAAACTTGAGGTGCATTAAGATATACAGTGGACCCTCGACCAGCGATGGCATCGATTAACGATAAATCTGACTAGCTGTACATTTTATCGCAAAAATTTTGCCTCGATTAGCGCTAAAAAACTCGACCAACGCTATTCCTTCCGTCTGAGACGCGTCCACTTCTGGCCAGTGTTTACAAGCCAGCCAGCCACCGCGGTCGCTTCCAAGCATACAATCGGAACATTTCATATTATCACAGCCTTTTTAGTGATTGCACCTGCAAAATAAGTCACCATGGGCCCCAAGAAAGCTTCTAGTGCCAACCCTAAAGCAAAAAGGGTGAGAATTACTATGGATATGAAGAAAGAGATCATTGCTAAGTATGAAAGTGGAGTGCATGTCTCCGAGCTGGCCAGGCTGTACACAAAACCCCAATCAACCATCGCTACTATTGTGGCCAAGAAAACGGCAATCAAGGACGCTGTTCTTGCCAAAGGTGCAACTGTGTTTTTGAAACAGATCGCAAGTGATAGAAGATGTTGAGAGACTGTTATTGGTATGGATAAACGAAAAACAGGTAGCAGGAGATAGCATCTCTCAAGCGATCATATGTGAAAAGGCTAGGAAGTTGCATGACAATTTAATTAGAAAAATGCCAGCAACTAGTGGTGATGTGAGTGAATTTAAGGCCAGCAAAGGTTGGTTTGAGAGATTTAAGAATCGTAGTGGCATACATAGTGTGATAAGGCATGGTGAGGCTGCCAGTTTGGACCAAAAAGCAGCTGAAAAATATGTGCAGGAATTCAAGGAGTACATAGACAGTGAAGGACTGAAACCTGAACAAGTGTTTAATGGTGACACTGACAATGTTGTGAAACACGTTAGGAATGTCATAAAGGAACGAGAGGTACAGGCCTCTATGGGCAGATATGTTGTGCGACAAGAGGTCCAGTGACTCTCAAGCTGGTCCTAGTGGCATTAAAAGAAGGGAAGTAACCCCGAAAAAGGACTTGCCACCTCAAGTCCTAATGGAAGGGGATTCCCCTTCTAAACACTAAGACCATCAACACACACCCCTCTTCCCATCCCATCAATCATCACCAGATCTTCAATAAAGGTAAGTGTCATGTAACTGTGCATGTCTTCTTCAGTTTGTGTGTATTAAAATTAATATTTCATGTGTTAAAATTTTTTTTTTTCAATACTTTTGGGTGTCTTGCACAGATTAATTTGATTTCCATTATTTCTTATGGGGAAAATTAACTTGACTAACGATTATTTTGACTAACGATGAGCTCTCAGGAACGGATTAATAGCGTTAATCGAGGGTCCACTGTAATGGAATGTATTGTGGTGGCTCAAAGAGTACTTTAGGGAAGAAAGCAGAGAGGGATTGCTCAGGAAGAGATGCTAGAATTTGGAAGGAATACCAAGCAGGGTTCCACAAGGATGTATATCAGGACCAGTACTGTTTCTGGTCTATGTGGGCAACATATCAGATAGGACTGAGCCAGATGTATTCCTGTTTGCTGATGACATAAAACTAATAAGGAAGATAACAGACAAGAGCAAGGGAAAGTATAAATATGTAGATCTGGACAAATTGTGAGATTGATCAGGTAAGTGTTTGCTTCATTCTAACTATAGCCAGTGGAAGTTAATGAGGAAGAGACCAGAAGACTGGTCACATAGTACATATAGACTCTGGGAGTGGGTAAAGACTGCAGACTGTGCTCAGATTTATTTATTTATTTAATTCATGTTAAGGACTTAACTCATGCCCCCTCAAGAGAGGTTCCTTGATACTGGTGAGGGGCTCTATCCAGAGAATTTTATCTATGCTCCAATTCCCTGAATTAATCCTCCACAAGCACTGTATAATCCCTAAGGGTTTAGTGCTCCCCAGGATGTTAATCATAATTAAACCCATGTGGGTCATTCAGTGCAAGATGTCGTGGAGGCTCCATCCTCCATCTGATGAGAGCAAGACAGATATGCCTCCTATTTGTACTCTCCTAGATGTTGCCTTACTCAAAGAAAAATACCCAGGGGTGAGCATAGTGCCTAGCATATCACCAGAGGCTCACATCAGCTGAATGGTCTCTGCAAATTTATGAGTAGCTTCCATGACTAAAGTCATTGCTGGTCCTTTTGTACAACATATACCAGGCCGATCTTGGAGTATGCAGTACCAACTTGGAACCCTCATCTGAAACTTTTTTAAGAAATTGGAAAGGGTACAGAGTTATGCAAGAAGTTTCAAAACTAACATAACTCACTCACTCACTCTATATACATTACATACAGAATTTGGGGTGGGCATGTCGGCAGCAGATGGGTCCATGAAATATGAGGTGAATCAAAGAATGGATGAGGAAGAAAAAGGTAGGTGGTATGTTGAAAGTATTAGTGTATAGAAAAAAGTTTACGGAGGCAAAAAAAAAAAAAAAGTGAATGCACCAAAGTTAGTGGTATCAGTACACTTACATGGGTGTGAGGCATACTATGGTGTGGTGAAAAGGAAGCTAGAGGCAGCAATGTCATGTTTGAGAACAGTGTGTGGTATGAATATCATGCAAAGAATTTGGAGTGTAGAACTTAAAAGGCAATGTGGAGTGATCAATAGTATAATTCAGCTTAGTTTTGATGATAATAATGAGGTGGTGTGGACATGCAGAGAAGATGAACAGGAATAGGGTGTATGAATCTGTTGTGAGCAGGGTAACTTTTGTAAAGGGATCCAGGATAAGCCAGACAAGGGCAGTGCCTGCACTCAGTGAAGGGTGGGGATGTATCAGTCGGAGGAGTAAGGTGGAGTAATATCTTGGATATGGAGTAGTAGTAAAATTCTTGAGTTAGTTTAATATATTATACACCCTATGC